TGAGTCCGCGCGGGTAGGTACCACCGCCCTGCCTATTTCCGCCGTCAAGCAGTAATGCGTTTCGGTTTGAAGGGTGGGGCAGCCGTTGTAACTATACTGAGACCTTAGAACTGATATCTCAAGGTGGGTGGCGCATTTACGTCGTAGATGTCTATGGGCTCCAGTAACCACTTAACACCAGGTGGGCTGTGAGCTCGTCCATCCATCTAGCAATAAAAATAAATAAAAAAACTTGATTCTCAAATCGTAATGCCACTAGTGAAAAAAAATCAATAGACTGCAGCTGTACCGGTATTTTAGAAAAAAAAAAATCTTCGTGTACCGATTCAAAAGAAACGATAAGCAAAGGTTTTTATATGCAATTTCGAACTCTAACTTATAGTAATGCGGTTCACATTATAATATCTTTTATAGGTTTTACACTTCGCAATTTTCAAGCCTATATTGCATTTTTAGTAGTGCGACCTCACTTTAGGCTTAAAAGAAATATTATTATTGTCGTCAGCGGTGCGAACATTAAAATATTTGTCTATCCTTCTTCAAACGAGGCTTGTGGAGAGTACATAACGGTAGGCAGCGGCTTGGCTCTACCACTGGCATTGCTGAAGTCCATGGGCGACGGTAACCACTTACCATCAGGTGGGCCGAATGCTAGTCTGCCTACACGGGCAATAAAAAAAAACAATTTATAGTATGTGTGTGTTAAAATATTTATTTTACTAAAACATTTCAAACATTTCAAACTACAAGTCAGCATCAGTATTCACACATGTACATACGCTATCAAAATACTTCAATCCAAAAAAAAAAAAGCGAACAAACAAACAAAAGTCACTAAACACTATATATTAATACAACTATTAATGTCGCATGAATATTTCGTAAACTAAAATAAGGTTAAAAAAAATTCTTTTTACGTTTTCTTAAAATCATTTATTGTCACAAAGTCGACGCTACGCTGGAACGCGATCGACCTGCTTTTCAACGCGTACTCTAGCAAAGTTGAGTAATCGATTGTGTTTTATTGAATAAAAAAATCTATGTAGAAATTCGTTCCCCGCTGACGATTATCGATAATTGCTTTTAAAATACTACGTTACGATTTTTTATTCTGTTTGTGTGATTGAAAATGAATTATTTTCGTGTCGCAATTCGATATGACTTAATAAAGGCGTTATTGTTAAATAAATGGAATAAAGCACTAGTGCTCTGTTTAATTTTGAGTCAATATGGCGGCATGACAAATAATGAAAAAAGGCGGTATTGAGTTCAAATTTGGAACATCCATTCCGTACTTTGTTTTTTTTTTTTTATGTAAAGAAACATGGCTTTACAATGTAGGGGCGTTTGAATTTCAAGGCTTGACGAATCGAAATCAATTGCTTTCGAACTATAAGATTGTAGGAGTAAATGTGTTCATAATTGAAGAAAACTTTGTTGATTTTAATAATGATTTTCAAATGTTTAATTTGTTCCTGAGATGGATGCGATCCGCTTTTAGTAAGTGGTTATTGTCGCGCTTATAGAAATCAGCACGGCTACCTGCACTGAGAAACTTGCGGCTTTGAAGTTTTTTTTTTTAATTTAAACTGAAATCGCAATGTTAATGTGGCACAGATACAACCGCAACAAATTATCTGCTACCATTGATAAATAAAAAAAAAAATGCCCGTAGCTTAAGCAATAAAAATCAAAAGACAAAAAAAAAATTAAAACTATAAAAGCAGAACATTGTAAGCTGGCGAAAATGCAAGACTACGAATACTTCAATAATTAAAAAAAAAAAACTTTTCTTATATTAACTTTTTTCTTGTTAAAAGCATACCAGTGAATGTATATGGGCTTCTTAAGGAAGTCGAAAGTCTTTATAGGTTTTTTCTCACGGTCCGAGATAATCATTATTTGAATTTAAATTGACCTGCGACATGTAGAGCGCGTTTCTTTTATTTCACCGAACAGCTAAATACTTTAAATTAATCAGATTAAAGTGATAGCCAAACTAAATAATTCATAAACCAAAATGTCAGCCATTTTGTGTAGAATCGAAAACTTTGATTTCAAATATTATAGAATACCTAAGTATCGTTAAAGTTAAATGCTTTCGCTATGATAAACTTGGAATGAATGTTACACATTGAACTTAGACAGACTTGGGTTCTAAGGTTTATTATATACAAGTTATATTTATTTCACTGGTGGTAGGACCTCCTGGGAGTCCGCACGGGTAGGTACCACCACCCCGCCTATTTCCGCCGTGAAGCAGTAATGCGTTTCGGTTCGAAGGGTGGGGTAGCCGTTGTAACTATACTGAGATCTTAGAACTTATATCTCGAGGTGGGTGGCGCATTTACGTTATGGATGTCTATGGGCTCCAGTAACCACTTAACACCAGGTGGGCTGTGAGCTCGTTCATCCATCTAAGCAATAAAAAAAAAATACATAATAGTCAACGTGTTTATCTTCCCTACATACATACATATTATAGAAGTTTGTAGGAAATCTTAAAATTGGCCTGGCATGTTTTGGCATGGGTTGTCCAATGAATTTTGGTAACGTTCGCATCAAAAATTAAATCAAACATCGGCCAAGAAAACTAACCGGTATTTCTACAGAGTTACATAAATTTACAATTTAGGTATTATTTATAATTTAAGTTATTATAGTTAGGTATACATATAAATCTTTCGCAAAAGCTTTTAAAGTCAGTTATTTATTACCTCGTTGAATGCCATGATGGACACCATGTGTCCACGGCGTAGTTTCCCTTAGCCCCCAATGATTTCAAAAATCATTTGAAAATAGTTTTTTCGCAAAAATATCATCATAAAATAATGGGCGATTTACGGAACCAGTGATCACTCATTACTTACCGAGAAATATCAAATGGCAGATATATGGTGTTAGTCGCGACCCCCCGGATCCGAATTATTGGGGGTTACAGGGCGTCCGCTGCGGTCCACTGGTGTAAGCATGGTCTAGTCTGGCGTTCAATACTTTACGAATTGTTACAACGAATGAGCTACTTGGAATTAAAACAAATTCCAAAATTATAACAATACGAAAGATCGATGTGCGATATTCATGGTCCAGTTTTCTCTTCGGCTGGTTGGTTGGTCTGTCCAGGTTGGTAACGACGGTAACCTTCTTGAGCCCCACATCAATAACTCGCGTGAGACTATATTAAAACCGCGAAAGTTGGAGACAACTCGCTTCAAAGGTCAAAACTCTCCAAGTCACTGTGCCACATAGCTTATCGATGGAATAATTAAAAAACTTTTTTTATTTTATCGCTTAGATGGGTGGAAGAGCTCACAGCCCACCCGGTGTTAAGTGGTTACTGGAGCCCATAGACATCTACAACGTAAATGTGCCACCCACCTTGAGATATAAGATCTAAGGTCAGATATATTGATCCGGTAGTAGATTCATTCGCGAAGTAATTGCTCTTCAATTGTTAGGTCTCCTTTGGAGGCGCTCAGGCAGTTGTTAGCAAATCCCACCCCTCCTGGCTGAGCCTTTGCTCGTCCACCTATCCTGCTGAAACTAGAAAGGCCTTCGGGCCACCAGTAATCTTTCAATCATAAAAAAAAGTATAGTTAAACGGCTGCCCTACCCTTCAAACCGAAACGTATTACGGCTTCACGGCAGAAATAGGCGGAGTGGTGGCACCTACCCGCGCTGACCCACAAGAGTTCCTACCACCACAGTTTCTTCCTCTATTCGAGTTCGCTTAAGAAACTTTGTAACAGCACAACGTAGAATTCCACAATCGATTTATTTTGTAAATTTCAACGATTTCAATCGATTTATTTAGAAAATATGAACAGTTTTAGAATCGTAATACCGCCGTACGTGTTCGAGCACCGCTTTTACGATGTGACGTCATATCGGAAAAGGAAATAGGTATTCGGAATATCCGAAGCTACATTGATGAACGTGTTACATAATCATTTAACTACTTTTACGTTTTTTTTATTATTATTTTTATTGCTCTGATGGCTGGACGAGCTCACAGCGCACCCGGTGTTAAGTGGTTACTGGAGCCTATAGACATCTGCAACGTAAATCCGCCACCCTCCTTGAAGTATAAGTTCTAAGGTCTCGCATTTGTCAAGTCTCATTGATGTTGTTACATTCCTGATGGAAAACTCTGGTACTGTTGGTAGGGGGCAGGTTGAGAGCCTTATCGGGTAGGAAAAGCTACCCGGCCTATTTCTGCCGTGAAGCGCTAATGCGTTTGCATTTAAAAGGTGATCTCAAGGCGGGAAGCATAGGCACGTAGTGAATGTCTATGGGCTCCGGTAACTACTTAACACAAGATAGACCGTAAGTGCGTAATTCTATCTGAAACATCGGCTTAACGGTAAGGAGCGGCTTGGCTCTGCCCCTGGCGTTGCTGATGTCCATGAGCGTCGGTAACCAATCACCATCAGTTAGGCCGTATGCCGTATGCTCGTTTGCCTACGAAGAATAAAAAAAAATTGTAATATTCGAAATATGAGGTGTATATTGACAGTAAAAATTGAATCGTAATAAGAGTTTTAATCGCCCTCAATACATAATCCCTCATAATCTTTATATTCGTTTATTTCTTCTGTGCGTATGTTTGTCACTGAACTCCTCCTAAGCGGCTGGACAGATTTGAATGATTTTTTTTGTATGCGTTTGGATGGCACCCTGGATGGTTTAGATTCACGAATCCGCCTGGCAGATGGCGCTGCAGTCGGTATCTAGGCTATTTATCTTTCCTAGAAATAATTTATATTGGCAAAGCAAAGTTTGCCGGGCCAGTTTGTATTATAATATAATATTTTTCGACATTAAAAACAATCGAACTACTCATGTAAAAATACAATTTACAGAACAAACAAGCTATTAGAAATGGAACAGAAGGAATTCAGCAGAATATGTAAACATTTGAATTATGTATGTAGGAAGTGTCAAAATAATGTAAGATTAGACATAACGTAAAAGAAATACAAACTGAATTTTATTTTCAGGTTTCCATCTAAGTGGGGTGGTACGGGCACCGGCGGCAGTTCCTCCCTGCTCAGAACCGGAACGGCTGTTCAGGGTCACAGTTTCTTTTGACAGGTACAAATAATTTAACTTTTTTGATAACTATAACCGACGCTCAACGTACTGGTGGTAGGACGTTTTGTGAGCCCACACGGGTAGGTACCACCACCCTGGCTATTTTTGCGGTGAAGCAGTAGTGCGTTTCGGTTTAAAGGGTGGCGCAGCCGTTGTAACTATAGTGAGGCCTTAGAACTCATATCTCAAGGTGGGTGGTGGCATTTATGTCGTAGATGTCTATGGGCTCAGGTAACCACTTAACACCAGGTGGGCTGTGTGCTCGTCCACCTGTTAATGCCATAAAAAAACCGTAAAAAAAGAACGAGAGTTGGAATTGAATGTTTTATTTAAATTAATTATCAAATCGAAGAGGTCTATTATTTTAATGATAGTTATGAAATACGTAATAATAATATATTTTTTTATGATAACAAAAAAAGAAAACCCGGCTTTAACAAAGTAAAATGACCAAACCATCTATAGTCGTCGAAGTTAATTAAATATGCATTATTATAGGATATAACAAAGACTATTAGTCAGATCTTGATAAAATTTTAATGAAACGACACGATAATCACCTGTTTTCCAACAAAGAAAGAACATGAAAATCGATTTATCCAGAATAAACATCGCAGGTTACATTAAAAAATGAACTAGAAATGATAACTCGTCATATTTTGGAAGTCACTTAAAAAGATAGTACTAAACTGATCCATGTCAAGTAGTGACAAATGATTATGAAGACTGTCGCAGCAATCAAACTGTACTGAATTTCTGCTTCAGTAAAATACGATTCTCTAAAATAGATTAAAGTTCACAACTACACAAACCGCTCTTAAAGCAAATCAAAGCTTAGCACTTTTGGTCTTCTAACCTAGCCGAGCCTTAGTTTACGGAACCGGCTCTTTCTCCTCCACATTTTGTGGTCTAACGCTGCCCAAAGACGAGTCCTATTATTTACTGGTGGTTAGGACCTCTTGTGAGTCCGCACGGGTAGGTACCACCGTTCTGCCGTGAAGTAAGTAATGCGTTTCGGTTTGAAGGGTGGGGCAGCCGTTGTAACTATACTTGAGAGTTGAGACCCTAGAACTTATCTTTGGCGCAAGGTGGATGGCGCATTTACGTTGTAGATGTCTATGGGCTCCAGTAACCACTTAACACCAGGTAGGCTGTGTGCTCGTCCAACAGTTTAAGCAATAAAAAGATCCGTTTGCTTTTACAAAACCCATAAATTCTTCTAAATACCAAAGAACTTCAAGATTGCACTGTGCATACTGTAAACTAAACGCGATTTAAACAGCAACATTGCAACAATCATAATGCCAACGCAAAGTTCTTGCAAAGGCCAAGTGTTATTGATTTATGAGTGAACAAAAGCTATTGAACTTTAGCACAATAGTGATTTTTAGTGATAGAAAAAAATATCATAAAACAGGGATATCTATATATTAATACGTGAAGCAAAAACTTTGTATCCCTTTTTACGAAAATTGCGCGGACGGAGGAGTATGAAATTTTCCACACTTATAGAGAATATGGAGAAGAAGTGCACAATGCTAATATTTTTTTTAAATAATGCATAAAAGATACATTAAATCGATAAAAAAAACATTAAACACACTACATACCATGTATTTGACGCACACACGCATGCATACTATTTATTGTCAAACTTTTGTTCTTGACGTCTGTGGTCAAATTGAAAAATATTGTTTTTCCTTAGGTATTAATATTTTTTCATAGAGTAGCCTTGGCGAAATTTGTGATTATAGAAGTATAAAATACAATCATAATAGTGTACAAAGTTACAATTTCAATTAATTATAGTCGAATTTCGACTACTGCGGGACCTCTAGTTTTGGAGAAATATAAATAGAAAAGATAACGTAAATTTAAAATAGTTAAAAAATAAGTACAGTACCGCTATAGTCATACGCGGATGAAACTATTTATGCTTGTAGTGGGCCGTTTTGTGTGTCTGCATGGGTAGATCCCACAATTTCTTCCGCGAAGCAGTCCTTCATACCTTTAACTGGTGGTAGGACGTCTTGTAAATACGCACGGGTAGGTACCACCGCCCGGCCTATTTCTGCCCTAAAGCAGTAATGGGTTTCGGTTTGAAAGGCGGGGCAGTCGTACTGTTAAACGTGAGGCCTTACAACTCATGTCTCAATGTAGGTGGCGGCGTTTACGTTGTAGCTGTCTATGGTCTTCGGTAACCACCTAACACCAGGTGGGCCGTGAGCTCGTCCACCTATCTAAGCAATAAAAAAAGAACCTGCTTAGAGGGCGGGACAGTCGTTATACAATACTTCCATTTCATGTCTTATGGTCAAAGAGACTTCAACAGCTTTGCGAGTGTACCATCGCGAAGCATTTGCCTTGAATTCATACCTCCTCTGGGGCAGTCTGAGGAAGCATTTTTGACTAGTGGTGTGCAACAAAACTAAACAAACTTCGAAATGGAAAGGCTGTAATCTTTTTTAATTTTTCGTTCCTACCTAAGCTGATAGCCTTGAGAGGCTATTTCAGCGTAACTTTAACTAGTAGGTGAGCTCACGGGGCTCAAACCGGAGTGATGCTAACACTGGCCCTAGCAAGAGCAGTGCTCAAGGGCGGATCCAGCTTTGGCGCCAGGAGGGGGTCACATAGTCAAATTTAGATGCGTTCGTTCCCAAACGTTTGCCATTATACAAACTTATTATATTATATTAAATTAATTAAATATTGAAGATATTTAGTTACATAAAATCTGTATGGTGACAAAATATATAAATAAAGTCATTATATTCAATTAGTGATCCATCTAAGTCCTGGAACCAGCTCAGGGGGTGGTCATGACCCCCATGACCCCCCCCCTGGATCCGCCATTGGCAGTGCTTCGTAGAATCTACCACCGGATCGGAAACGCGACCCACTGAGAAGATCCGCCGAGAAACTCAGTGGGCTAATGTAATCTTAACGCTGCATTGACATGATTTTTTAATAGCCCGCACTATTTGCTTTAGGTGTAAGATAACCGGTGTGACATGCAGCTGCGAGGCGCGAGATATCTTTTGGTGCCAACATGTGGTCGCATTGGCCTTGTACCGGATCAGGAACGCAGACTCCGTTCGGTTACGAGTGCCTATATCAGGTGAGTCCCTGCCTCATCAACCAGAAAAATGGGTCGCCTCCGTTATAAAAGGATGTCGATAGTTAATTGCATTTTATTTAAAAGATAAAACAAACCGCTATATACTTAAAGGACTCCCCTCCTCTTGGCTGCTCGCCCATCTGTCCTGGTGAAACTGAAAAGCCCTCCGGGACACAAGTAAAAAAGATACTATTTAAAGGTTAAACATTCGAATTAAATGTAATATGATGTACATATGTTAAACGTTAATCACCTCTTGTGAGTCCGCACGGGTAGGTACCACCACCCCACCTATTTCTGCCGTGAAACACTAATGCGTTTCGGTTTGAAGGGTGGGGCAGCCGTTGTAACTATCCTGAGACCTTAGAACTTATATCTCAAGGTGGGTGGCGCATTTACGTTGTATATGTCTATGGGCTCCAGTAACCAATTAACATCAGGTGGGCTGTGAGTTCGTCTACCCATCTAAGCAATAAAAAAAACGTGAGTCCCACTAGTTCATGATAGAACGTAAAAACCACGTAGATTTACGGGCTTCCTGCTAACTTCCACTGGGCGAAAGACGTTAAAACATACCTTAAACAACTTCCTCGTAGAAGAAACGACTTCCACTGCACTAAAGTTAGTAGCATCTCTGTTCAGTTGTGATGTCTATAGGAAGTTAGGTGTCTACAGGTAGTAGCAGATAGCCGTCTACCGACCAGCGGCAAAATAGAAATCTCAATTCCAGAAACTCTCCTGCAAATGGACAGACAGCAACTTCAGAAGTTCGTCCAGTATTTAATATCGGAGCATCACACCGAAGTGTTGCCGACGGCGCAGAGGTTAGCCGACGAAGTTCTGCAGGCGAGGTCTGCCATCAACAGGATATGTGGCGCGCCGGACCCGACGGCCGGACCGCCGCCCGACGCGCACCATGCCTGGCATTTGGATGAGCAGCAGGTGAGCTCCAAAGAAATCTCTTCACTGCGCACAATATTAAGTTTTTGGTACTGGCTACTATCAGCTGTAACATCGTGAATGCCTCCACTCACGACGGGACGTGGAAGTCTCCATGGGTAACCGGAGACCGAATAATAAGAAAGTTTTTTTGGTGAAATATAATTAAGATTTTATATTCCTGAGTATGATAATTTTAAATTCTAATACCTTATTAACAGTGAGCATGACCCAACACGCATAATATATCATGTGTGACCAATCGTTATACATAATATTATATAATATAAATGTCTGCTGGTTTTTGGCCACGTATGACGTCACGTGCAATAAAGTGCTCTCAGGTGGAGTTTGTTCAAGTTTTCGTCACAGTTTTTATAAATACTGTAGACAATGACTGTGCTTCTCCTTGAACTCGAACTTAGGACAGATTCGGGGCAGAGAGAGGCAGGATCTCTCAGGATATCTACCGGTGTAGGCTGACAACAATCCGAACCATCAACAATGCACTATGAGCTCGTGTTTGATGACCTGCGTCCCGCGTTCTCATCAGAGAAAACCAGATCTCATTACCTCTGTAGTTGTTACCCTTTAGCTTTCTTAGAAATTTGTATCGTTACAGGTCTGCGAACAAGTACGCGCGTATTTGTTACAGGGAACTTATTATAATGCAAACAAACAATTGAACTCTTTATTTTCAAAGGTAAGTTCATGATTCCAATTAAATTTTTCAAGATATCTTGTAATTCAAAAGAATATTACTGGTGGTAGGACCTCTTGTGAGTCCGCACGGGTAGGTACCACCGCCCTGCCTATTTCTGCCGTGAAGCAGTAATGCGTTTCGGTTTGAAGGGCGGGGCAGCCGTTGTAACTACACTTGAGACCTTAGAACTTATATCTCGAGGTGGGTGGCGCATTTACGTTGTAGATGTCTATGGGCTTCAGTAACCACTTAACACTAGGTGGGCTGTGAGCTCATCCACCCATCTGAGCATTAAAAATATATATAATTCAAAACAGCTAACCCTCAACGTCAATGTGAACTCGACAGGTTCGGGAGATGCTCCGCGCGCAAGACTCGAACGGTCCCAGGATGCTCATGCTCATGACGGAGCAGTTTCTATCTGACCCCCGGCTCCTGCTATGGAGGAATCAGAACACGCCCATGACAGAGAAATGCAGGCAGCTGTGGGAGCAGTTAGGAGCTCTGTGGGTCAGCATAGTCTTAGATCCTGGAAGTAATAAGCACCATCGGCTGCAGTGGAGGCATCTGCTGGAGAAGTGGTCGGCAGTTGAAGTATGTCCCACCGAGGATCCAGACTATAGGTCTTTTCCTTTAGTAAGTAAAACTGAAGTTATTTACAATGTAATCATTTAATGCAATTGAGGCTGTAGTTTATTTAATTGTTATCTATACTAATATATATATAAATCTACGGTGGTTTTTTACGGATGTTCCGTTATAACTACTGAACCGTGCATCCGATTGACTCGAAACTTGGTATCCTTGTAGAAAATACATGTACTTAATGGATAGGCTAATATTTATATGAGTGTTGGACTCCCTACACCCGTTGCGGGGGCGTTAATCATGAGAATCTTGGTGGGTTGAGAAATAATAATGTAAAATTTTAAATGCCCAGCGAAGCGGACGGGTACAGCTAGTTTTAACTAAAAAAGTTATTCCGTAGAACAAGCTCACGGCCCACCTGATGTAAATCGCTGCTTCCGTTAATGCGTACACATATAATATTGATAAACAAACAAATGTGCATTGTTTTTCGTTAACTGAAGCGTGCTGGTGGATTCGCGATTGCGATTCGAGACGATCCAATACATAATAATCAGATATATAATATAATAGTGTCATAAATATGTATTCATAGGAGCTCACAGCCGATACTAGGATAGAAATGAGCATTATGTTTCGTTTACTATCAATGTCCAAATTTACTTATTTCTTAAGTTCAATACTTTTTTATTAATTTCACATTTTGGACAGTTGAGTTCAGAAAATAAAATACTAGTTTTATAAATTTCACAAACGTGTGATGAATATGTTAATTATTCTTATATTAAAAATAATTCCGAAAAACGTGTTTCAGTACGCAAGAGAAAGAGAAAGAAATGAGAGGGATCGCGACAGAGACCACAGAGACAGAGATAGAGAACGACATCGCGATAGAGAAGAGAGGGACAGAGAAAGACTGCGTGAAAGAGAAGAGCGAGACAGGTAAGTCTATGAAATTATTTTTAAACCTCAGATGCATATTACAGCAATAGTACAATAACGAAAACCGTAGGCAGCGTCTTCACTATGTCCCTGACATTGTCGATGTCCATGGGCGACTTTCATAAAGCAATAATGCGTTAAATCTTTAAACAATCATCATTTTGACTTTTTTTTTTTATTGCCTTTATAGGCAGACGAGCATACGGCCCACCTCATGGTGAGTGGTTACCGTCGCCCATGGACTTCAGCAATGCCAAGGGCAGAGCCAAGCCGCTGCCTACCGAAAGTGACTTTCACTATTATGCTTATAGTTGACGAATGAAAATTATTGTTCAATCGAAATAATATATATTATGTACAATAGCTTAAAAAACCCACCCCTAAATAGCAAATGGAACTAAGCATTAATATCATGTTTTATTTTGTTGATATTAGAGCCAAGAGGATCATTAATATAGGTACTTAATAAAAAAAATGTACTTAACTATTTTGTTATTGCCTATTTATATATAGATAGTACCAAGTACCTGATTGAATAACTAAAACATGTCGACAGCTCTGCACTAGCGGCAACCCTATTCAAATAGAATGTTGGAAAGTAAAGAAAAAATTCCTAAATTTCCAGAGAAAGGCATAGAGAGAGACTGAGAAGAGATATACATTCCCATTCCGAGAGTTCCGATGAAGAGTCGAGACCTAATAAGTAAGTATCATTTAATAAATAGATTCGCCCCCCGGTTTCACTCCCGCCCAACTTGTACTTCAGAAGATATTACATGTTCGACGAAGGCGACGGGGCGACGGAAAGCCGCCGTCGTCCGAAATATGTCTTGTCGGATCCCCCGGATTCGTTATCAGTGCTTTATTTAGTGCTTTATTTATTTTATTATACTTTATTGTATGACACACACACACACACACACACACACACACACACACACACACACACACACACACACACACTTTTTCCTAGCATAAAAGTCAGGGAATATTGTTATTGTATACCTCATAAAAAAGCCATGTATATTATTATACTAGTGTTAAGAATTTTTGTACGTGTTTGTATTTTAAGAGGCTTGAATAAATAAATATTATTATTATTATTTTACGACCCTCAAGCACCGGCTACCGAACTAACCCATAGACAGAATCCACTGAGTTTGTCGCCGGATCTTCTCAGTGGGTCGCGTTTCCGATCCGGTGGTAGATTCAGAGAAGCACTACTCTTGCTAGGGCTAGTGTTAGCAAATTCTCTCAGGTTGAACCCATGAGCTCACCTGTCCTAAGGCTACCAGCGAATAGGCAGAGGGAAAAAAACAAATGAATCGCCTTGCATTTACCCAGATACGGAGTGCTTGCGTCACGTTCTGGTCGATTGATTTGTCTAATTCCTTAGTGGATGAATAAATCTCTTTTTTTAATGTACAAACCCCTTTTCATAACTTAAAATCGATATTTTTTCATTTATCGCATAGACTAGTCAGCGAGCTCACGGTGTTAAGTCGTTACTGAAATTCATAGGTGATTGTTATTACACGTGCTGTTGTTCATTGTGGAAATTATCTGTGCATATATATTAAATACGTATTTCATTAGAAATATTGGTACCTGCTGTAGAATTCGAACACCGGCACAGTCAGTCGTATTGCTAAATGTCCGGTCATCGTTCTTGTCGAACCTGTCGCGACGAAGGGCTCGACGAGCAAGTTAACCCACAGACACAGCCCACTGAGTTTCTTGCCGGATCTTCTCAGTGGGACACGTTTCCGATCCGGTGGTAGATTCCGCGAAGCACGGCTCTTGCTAGGGTTCGTGTTAGCAACGTCGTCAGGTTTGAGCCCCGTGAGCTCACTCACCTACTAGTTAAGGTTATGGTGAAATAGCCTCTGAAGGCTATTAGCTTAGGTAGGCAAAAAATTGCTAAATACGAGCACGCAGTGTTATCCTTTAGCCCACGGCGCCCTCATATCGTCGCTAAAGATAATTCGTATGCTATCTCTGAGTGGCTTTATTATTGTCACTCGCAACGCACGCGACAACCCTAACGTCCCCCACTAGGGTTCTCGCGTGCGTTGGAGTGCTTTAATTAAGATTAATGCACACAAAAGTTCGTCAGTAGCCGTAACATTTAATGGATTAATAGCTTTTACTTGTCGTTTTCAGCTACGAACGTGAATACAGAAGAGCTAGCAAGAGATTAAGACTACACAACCAGAGAACTGCGACCCACCTCGCGCCAAGAACTGTGTTCCACAAGTGAGTACCGTACCTTAGTTACTTCAGTGCGCTCAGTGCGAGTTTTTTAACGTGCTCGATATCGTAAAAGTTAACTCAAATTTGTATGGAACTGGAAAGTTTGCCTACGTTTGCCGCTAGGGGCGCTATTTCAACTGCATACAAATTTGAGTTAACTTTTACGCTATCGAGAACGTTAAAAAACTCGCACTAAGCACACATAGCGTTTTCCTTGATAGAGACATTAAGACTTGCATCCAAGATTCGGACTGTTGAAATATAAGTCTAATTTACATCCTAAGAACCGTTTGACTACCGTCAAAACTAATGGATCAAACGATCCATTTCAAAAGAAACATTCACTCTTAAAATATCAGTAAATATTCAAACAACAAAATAACGTAGGTCACCGAGATCAGCGCGATCAAGTTCATTTTTAATTTGTGTTACATTGCGCGTCATACAAAAACACTATTCGTGCTAGTGTCGACGTGTAATTGTCGATATACGAACGTAATTCCTAGCGGTCAAAGTTTAGATTCATATATCACATTTTTTTCTTTAGTTTTATTATTGTTGTTTTTTCGTATGCAGGTACTATTATAATTTACTAATATTTCGTCATTGATCACAGTATAGCTAGTAAACAAAATGTAATGACGAACGAGGAATAGTTATTTGTACAACAAGAGGGCAGTGTTCTTTTTTGTTTTGAGTCCCGAGCAGGCGAAGGATGCTATGATTGGTTCGCAAGCGTAGCGAGTGATTCAAAGTTAGAATCCTGAGGGTAGTGAGGAACTCAACTCAACTCACACATAACTTTTCACCTCAGCAGAGAGAACACATATTACTTATGAGACATAGAAATGAACAGGAATATCTTGAAATATCTATTAAAAAAAAACGTAATTTATTTTGTGGGCTTACTCCACATAAGTATTAAATATTATTTTGGATTTATTATATACAATATATAAACATGAGAGATATATATATAATATATTAATTTACTATATATGAATAACACAACACATAATATATACAACAATATAACATAACAATAACTATAATATTAACATGTACTGTATACATTCACACAACAAAATACGTTTACATTATGTACGTTACGATACGAATCTGCCGGACGACGCGACGACGTAATGGAAACGAACAATTCTACGTCATACGACCGAGATTGGTGTAATGTGTGAGCCAGTGGAGGGCAGTTAGTTAAAAGATTGGAATTGTTTACACATCATATCGTTCGGACAAAAAGTATTTATTTTTCGATAATTTGTTTGTTGTTGTTGTTTAACTTATCTCTGTGATTGTCACTCCTTCTTTCTCTTTGTTAACTTCTTGTGTGTATGTGATTAAATAAACTGTTTGTGTTTGTGTACGGAGTGTACCTACATTATTTGAAACCACTTACCAAATCACAACCACCGAAGGTAATTGAGCATAAAACGCATTAATACAACTAAAATTTATTACAAACATCTTTAAATTTTGGGGTATTACGCGTTTCCGAACGTGTTTTCTTTGAGGTCGAATTCCAAAATCGAATTTCGAAGGTGTTTGTTTTTTTACTCGCTTTTTTATATGCATGTGAAAGAGACAGAGCACAGTAAAATTCGAATGGCTGAACAATGTCAATTCGTGGCACTGAAGATTGAAAAATGAAAAAGCTACTTTGACCCACGCCCGAATCAAAATCGCGTTTTATTCACTGCTGTCTCGCAGCAAAAGCGGCATCTTTGAGCTGTTTAGCTGAAAATGGTATTTATTTGTCTTTGCCTATTTATATAGTTTTACGACTATCACTTACCTTTTCCGTCACACGATGTATACGAGTCTTGTCTCCATCAACCAGGGCGTTGGACGCGGTCGACATATCCTGGGAGAACGATCACCTGAAGAACATCCTCGGCGGTGACGAATACTCGGACCCGGACAAGCCGGAAAAGCCGAGCGGCTCCAGTGCCACCACGCTGCAACCTTACCCCAAGTTCAATGAACTCGGACAGCCCTTGTGGCACGGTACGTGGCGTCTACCCGCATTTCCTGAAATTAAAACTTCCTTAGCGCCGTTGCTATTTGAAACCCGAAAAGCGACACTAAACAGAGACGAAGCGGTTACAGACATAAACATGGTTTTTTGCATATATTTATAGCTCTAGATGGGTAGACGATCAACTTGATGCCAATTGATTTTATTACTGGTGAGTCCGCACAGGTAGGTACCACCGCCCTGCCTATTTCTGCCTTGAAACAGTAATGCGTTTCGGTATGAAGGGTGGGGCAGCCGTTGTAACTATACTGAGACCTTAGAACTCATATCACAAGGTGGGTGGCACATTTACGTTGTAGCTGTCTATGGGCTCCAGTAACCACTTAACACCAGATGGGCTGTGAGCTCGTCCACCAAACTATGCAATAAAAAAAAAAGAGAGTGCCCATGAGTAAGTTCAAGAAATGTGTTTCATACAAACAACAGTGCCGCTAGTCTTATGCTATTCTCATCTTCACAGAGCATTTGCCGGTCGTAGGGGCGAGGATAGAGGCTCTGAGGGCGCACGGCCGAGCCCCGGCCGCTCTGAGGCTGGCCGTCAGCGCCGCCCGCGCCATGAGACACCGACAGGTACCAACCACTACTCATAACCATTATACAAGCTCTTCAAACGAGGCTTGAGGAGAGTACTTAACAGTAGGCAGTTACTTGGCTGTACCTTTGGTATTGTGGTATTGTTAATTTTTACTGGCGGTAGGACGCCTTGTGAATCTGCATGGATAGTTACCACCGCACTGCCTATTTCTGCCGTGGAACAGTTATGCGTTTCGGTTACTATACTATAACTATACTGAGACCTTAGAACTTATATCTCAAGGTGGTTGGCGCATTTCAATTATTTATGTTTATGGGCTCCAGTAACCACTTAACATCAAATGGGCTGTGAGCTCGTCCACCCAATTCAATTAAGCAATAAAAATAAAAAGGGTTTGAAGGGTGGGGCAGCCGTTGTACTGTAAAAACTGAGACCTTAGAACTTATGTCTCGAGGTGGGTAGCGGCATTTGCATCGTAGATCTCTATGGATTCCGGTAACCGCTTAAAACGAGGACTACCCGCTTTAATAATAAAAAAGTCTATGGGCCACGGTAAACACTCACCATCACAAGCGAGTCTTATGGTCGTTTATCTCCAAGGGCACTTAAAACCCATATTATGTTATGAACACCAGGAAGTAGCCCAACAGCGATGGCAGAGCGTGGGGGCCGGCGAGGCCTCGTCAAGTGGGGACAGCAAGGCTTGCTCCGGCCCGGAGACCTGCTCGGGGAACTGCGGGGAGCGCGTCAAGCTGTCGCTGGTGTGCGCGCACATGGACAGCGGCGCCTGCCAGTCCGGCGGGGCCACCTGCGCCCTGTCGCACACGCAGCGCTGCATCGGCAGAGGTCAGTGAGGCCCCGCACACAGCAACGGACTACACGGAAACAAACAATTTATATTTTCGGTAGGCAGCGGTTTGGCTTTGCCCCTGGCATTGCTGAAGTCCACGGGCGACGGTAACCAGCCATCATCGGGTGGGCCGTATGCTTATCTGCCTACAAGGGCAATAAAAAAAAAAGTATATATAAAAGCAGCCCGAGCTATTTCAACTTATCTCTCAACACGTCATTGCAACCCAAAATTAAAACCTGTTGCTCTCTGGTGTCAGCCCACCACCACCCCGACTGTTCCCGTGGGTGTCGTAAAAGATGATTGAAAGATTCATAGAAAAATAAGCGACAATGTTCCTCGAGTATACTGGGGTATTGGTATCTGCCTTCTTCTGCTACGTTTCAATTTGAAGGACGAGGGATGTAATAAAATCGACATCGACTCTAATAACGATTGTACAGAAGGCGGTCATCAGCTCTGTGGATCTACGGCAATTAAACGATTGTCAATAGTCCCGTTCTCATAGGTCGTTTAGAACCTCAGGGTCTACGAAGGGACTTGGTTCTCTTATATTATCTGTTCTATGAGGAGTCCTTTGAGGATATGTTTGAGATGATCCCATCACAGAGCCACTGCGCGAACTATTATACTCTATTCCAATCACGAAGTCCCATGAGACAGGTGTTATTATTGTTATTTTATTAATTGTATAATGATTGAGATTGATTGTGTATTTTTTAAATGATATTTACGACCATACGAACAAAAAATGATTATTTATATATTAATACGTGAAGCAAAAACTTTATATCCCTTTTTACGAAAATTGCGCGGGCGGAGGAGTATGAAATTTTCCACACTTATAGAGAATATAGAGAAGAAGTGCATAATGCTAATATTTTTTTTAAAATAATGCATAAAAGATACATTAAATCAATAAAGAAAACATTTCACACACTACATGCCATGTATTTGACGCACACACGTATGCATACTATTTATTGTCAAACTTTTGTTCTTGACGTCTGTTGTCAAATTGAGAATAGATTCAATATTGTTCGTCTTTATTAATATTTTTTATAGTGTAGTCTTGGCGAAATTTGTGATTACAGAAGTATAAAATACAATCATAATAGTGTACAAACTTACAATTCCAATTAATTATAGTCGAATTTCGACTACTGCGGGACCTCTAGTTATTTCAAATTATGCGAAACGTGATGAGTTACGTTCTAAGAACTGTCAAAAGGAACCCCGTAATTGGAATAGAGTATAGCTTTGCAATGAAATGTCCTTTTCACGGTGTTTCCTGAGTGTTATATCGTTCTTAAAATGCTCTACTGAGAGTACTTAGCGGTAGGCAGCAGCTTAGCTGTGCCCCTGGTATTGCTAATGTCCATAACCGTTAGACCCTCTCATCGTGGCTGCCGCTAATTACTTATCCGACCGCGACGGGGCCACGCAAATTCGCCGTTGCCCGAAGCATGTTTAGTTAGATCCCTGGATCCACTCTCGGTGCTTTTAGGTCCTTTAAGTACCGGCCACCTACGGGTGAACTAACCCATAGACCCAGCCCACTGAGTTTCTCGCCGGATCTCGTCAGTGGGTCGCGATTCCGATCCAGTGGTAGATTCAGCGAAGCGCTGCTCTTGCTTGCTAGGGCTAGTGTTAGCAAGTTCTCTCAGGTTGAGTCCGTGAGCCCACCTACCACGTCGGGCGTAGCTGAAATAGCCTCTTAGCCTATTAGCGAATAGATAGAAAAAAAAAAGACCTTTTGTAGTCTCTCAACGTCAGATTGGCCGCATCCTAGTCTGCATATAAAGGTTGCGTTTTAGACAGCCGATGCTGGACTGGCTGGACGCTGGAGGCGATCTGGTGCGTGTACGAGTGCCTGGCGGACGCGTGCCTAGCGCCAGATGACCAGCGCGCCTCCCCGCGCCTGCACACCGCCTACCTGGACGAGGAGCCCAACACCGGCCTGCCGCCGAGGTAAAGAAAGAAAGAATGAAAGAAACAAAAAAAGAAAGAAATTTATGCGCTAAGCATAGTGAAAATACATTACAGAAGTTATAAGCAGCGTGTATGCTTTGTCATCATTTGACATGCGAATTTTAGTGCAGTGCAAAATATTATGATATTATATAATTTACCATTCGTTCATCCATAATTCGACTGATAATAAAAAAATGCGTATATATTTTCAATTTCGCCCCTATGTGTGGCGTTAGCCATCGCTGAACACAAGATATTTGTCCTGCCTGAATCTCGCTTACGACATTTTCAAGATTAGCTTACATATATACAAGTTCCGAACAACAACATTTGCCCATAGACACAGCCCACTGAGTTTCTCGCCGGATCTTCTCAGTGGGTCGCGTTCCCGATTCGGTGGTAGATTCTGCGAAGCACGGCTCTTGCTAGGGTCAGTGCTAGCATCACTGCGGTTTGAGCCCCGTGAGCTCACCTACAGTTAGGACGAAGCTGATATAGCCTCTCAAGGCTATCAGCATAGCTAGAAATTTTTTTTTTAACCAAACAGCTTTTGCCCCCTTTGATATCTACCCAATTTAAAAACGTGTTCGCGAAAGAATCGACAACCGTCTGTCTGATTGGCCATTGTCAATACAGTTGTTTTGTATCGACAGATACCAGCACGTACCGGTTGCCGGTAGTAAGAACCCTGAAGAGACGTATCTGGCGCTGGCGTTAGAGGCCGCACTGCTGGGCCTCGGCATGCAGAGGATGCTGCCGAGCGGCCTCTACGCTCAAGAAAGGTATTGTAAGCAGGTGAGAATTATACTATTATAATTTGCGCAATTACTGATGGTAGGACCTCTTGTCAGTCCGCACGGTTAAGGATCACCGTCCTGACGTGAAGCAGTAATGCATTTCGGTTTGAACGGTGTGGCAGCCGTTGTAACTATACTGAGACCTTAGAACCGATATCTCAAGGCGGGTGGCGGTATTTACGTTGTAGATGTCTATGAGCTTCGGTAACCACTTAAACGACAGGTGGGCTATGAGTTTGTCCAATAAGCAATAAATAAATAAATTGTCGGAGTCGAGTTCAGTCGATCGCTCATTGCTGAGCATCGTGACGCGCCCGTCTGTGACCTATTTGAAGTGAAACTTCTAATGCGACTTCCAACAAGGTTGCGATAAATATTTAATACGGGTTCTACATTCGCCCGCGAACCGCGGCCGCGGCTCGCGCATTAACACGACGTGAAAATCATAGCCCTCTACACATGCAACCTTTCGCATTTACGTTCGCGCATTTGACTGAAATGGACGTTGAAGTTGCTGCTGCTCTGACACTATGCGCCTTGGCGTGTTACAATTATGCGTTTATAAAATCAAAAAAACAAATAAAAAATAAATGGAGGAGAAGAAGGTGGCGGATGACATAAATCCATCGCAACAATCCTAAACTTTTTTTCTATATGTTCTGTAGCTGGACATTAAAGAATCCTTTTTCTTCTTTAAATATGGCACAGGAATTTCCATGATTGCACTAGTTCTCAGCCATGCATCATGTACTTTATTTTTGTTTTTATGATCTCCATGTTGTGCTTGCCAAAGCACGGGCTCAGCATGATAACATTCAAGGAACGTTAGTTGCCGATCGTTACTCCATTCGATACTCATGACGTCCGCTTGTCACTGTGTCTCGCACACAACTGCGAACATACCCGAGTGTGGATGCCTTTGCGTTCGCGCTTCGCAGGCCCTTTGTCGCGGGCCAAAAAACCGCCATCGGACGGAGAACGCCGCGAATCGCGACCGCGAAGTCGCTGAAACCATCCACACTCGCGGTTCGCGCCCTTCGCGAACATTTGCGCCGCGAATGTGGAGCCGGCTTAACGTACCTACCCGCGCGTACTCACAAGAGGTCCTACCACCAGTATTTATATAATTAATATGTTACAATATGTAAAGCCTCGTACGTGATGTTCCAGGAGGAGCGTTTGATCTCCCAGCTGCAGCGGGTGGAGGGCGAGGCTGCGGCGGGGGTGTGCGGGCGGGCGGCGGGGGCGCTGCTGGCGGGGGGCCCGGCCTCGTGTCTGGGCGCCACCGTGCACCCCCGCTCGGCTCCAGCACATACCTTCGCGCGGTATCTATTCCTCACCCTGCTACCAGCTGATCCTGATCTTGCGTATCGGGTCGGCTTAAGGGCTATGAGGTGGGTTCAAAATGTATATATCAACGCTTGAAAGGCAAACGTGACTAAGCGACAATAACTGCTTTGTACATAAATGATAGGCAATAACCATATTCGATGCGCAAAAAAAATTTATTTCTAGGTCTCTATTAAAATAATTTCAATCCTACAGCTACTAGCTAGATTCTACTACAGCTAGATACGTTAAAAAAATTTTTTTTTCAGGTATTTCATCTTTAAATTAGTCTACTGTAAAGTTCACGCATTGTCGCTTAGTCACGTTTGCCTTTCAAGCGTTGGCTTCGTTAGATTTAAAACTGATGGGAAAACTAAAATTATCAAAAATTATGAAAAAAAATATTCTTAGTCCTTATTCCACATTTATACCATACATATCCAATTGCAATCAAAGTTTGTCAATGCTGTTACATGCAGTTGGTACAAGTTCGCAGATAAAGTACCATCGGGCGAGTCACAGCAAACTGTGGTCGGGTTTCCTTAGTCACTACATAGTATAAAACAAAGTCGCTTTCTTTGTCCCTATATCCCTGCTTAAATCTTTAAAACTACGCAACGGATTTTGATGCGGTTTTTTTTAATAGATAGAGTGATTGAAGAGGAAGGTTTATATGTATAATAACATCCATTAAATAGTGGAGAAATCAATAATAAAATACAGTTTCCGAAGCGAAGCGAGAGCGAGTAGCTAGTTTAATATAAAAGAAATAACGTAGATAAATGTATGTATCCTCATTAGGTTACCAATGGTCGAAGAGGCGTACGCGCTAGACGCGGGAGGCGCGGGGGGCAGCGCCGCCAGCGTGGGGGGCGGGGGGGCGTGGCACACGCTGCAACACGCGGAGCAACAGCAGGCGGCGCTGGCGAGCGCGCTGCTGGGGGCGGCCCGTGGCTCCCCCGCCCGGCTGCGCGCGGCCCTGGCGGCGGCACAGCGGCACGTGAGGTCGGCGGCGCAACTGTTCCGGCTGGCCCAAGACGCGCTGAGGCACGCTGCTCCGCCCGACGCCCCACACCACCACCGAGACTTGTTGGCGGCTGCCTTCGAACTTGGACTTCAGGTACGAACATGGATAAGTGCCTTTAGTATTAAATCCGATTCGTACATACTCGTTTATCTTTTTTTTTTGTTGCGGCCCACCTGGGTGTTAAGCGGTTACTGCAGCCCGTAGACATCTACAACGTAAATACCACCACCTACCTTGAGATATAAGTTCTAAGGTCTCAAGTATATGTAGTTACAACGGCTGCCGCACCCTTCAAACCGAAACGCATTACTGCTTCACGGCAGAAATAGGCAGGGTGGTGGTACCTACCCGTGCGAACTCACAAGAGGCCCTACCACCAGTAAAGTTATCTTAAGTTCAACTGATAATCATTTGATGAGTGTGTACAACCGGCATTAAAGTACCGTCGACAAATCAAATCAAATCAAAAAAAAAATATTCAACATAAATGAAAGTACATACTTGTTGAACGTCAAAAGAACTACCACCAATTCACAAAAACTAGCCCCTATCCTGAGAAGAACTGGCAAGAAACTCAGCGGGCAGGTCATTTTTTTTTAATATTAGTTTTTTTTTTAATATTAGATTTTTTTTTAATATTAGATTTTTAAAATTTTCCTTTTTTACAATGATGACATGATGACATATGACAGTCTTACTGCGTTGTCGGAATAGGTGTTGAGGATGACCTTGGCATCAGTGAACTGGAGGAGGAGGGAGATGGTGCGCTGGCTGGTCACGTGCGCCACGGAGCTCGGCCTGGACGCCCTGCTCTCCATCATGCAGAACTGGTAATGATGAGACACGATCTCGTAAACATGTAACGCTTGCTGCTAAAGTGCCTGAAACAATTAGTTCTTTTTTATTCGTAACGCAATAAAGACGGTGTTAAATTATTTCAATAAGTCAATACTTTATTTTGCCTAAAGCACATAGTTTTCAAAATAGAAAGACATTAAAAGGGGTGGTGAAATGCTATTTGGCTTAAACGACATTTTTGCAACTTTTCAAGAGGGCCACTTGAAGTTTATAATTTGAAAAATATAATATGTAATCATCAGCGTTCTCCTCCCCTTCTCCCAGTCGCCTGAGGTTGGCGCAACATGTTTTCTTCTTCCATACTCCTCTATCATACCATTTCTTCGCTCACTCCCCTCTTACGCATATCGTCTTTCACGCAATCCATCCATTTCTTCTTAGGTCTACCTCTTCCTCTATATCCTTCCACATTCATAGTTAACACTCTTTCATCCCTCGATATAAAATGTCTCGTTTTTTTTAAATTTATATTAGTTATTTATTTATTTTATTTATACTTTATTTTAGTTTTTTTTTTGTTAGTAAGAATTACTTATAATCTATGTTAGTAACTTAAAAAATATAACACATAAGTATTATCATTACATACATTTTCTATCATTACATTTGTTTTTTTTTTCTTCCAATTGCCTGCTGCAAAGCCTATTAATCAGCAGTCCCTCGATCTTGCTCGATATGGTTTTCAGAAGACTGTTGCCACTGTCTCTGACTCGACGCAATAACGATGCACTTCTCTTCCGCATTATTGCAAAGAAGTCATCAGTGTGAGATTTCGCAAACATTGTGGATGCACTACAAAAGCGCGGCAGTGACAACATCATCCTAAACGCATTATTATATTAAACACGTACAGACTACTGGCGAAAAAATTCTGGCAATAAACTTTAAAAATTGTAACTTTGACATAGCTATCGCAACCAGTAAATCTGCGGGCCAGTGTACTGCATCTTACTATCAACGCCCTACGCTCCCTATCTATTACCACGTCGTTATTGTTTATCAGGTACGAACTGTTCACGCCCACTGAGGCGACGGGTCCGGTGGCCGCGGCGGCCATGTCCCACGCCACCGCCCTCCGACTGGGGCTCACGTTCGAGCAGCAGGAGAAGTTGAGTGCGTGCGCGCGGACGTTAGCCCTGCAGTGCGCCGCCAAGGACCCGCCGGGGTGCGCCCTCAGCGCCCTCTCGGTGTGCGAGGGGTCCGCGGGGGCCTTTGAGGCTGCGTGTGCGGCCGTGGGGGGCGCCGCGGCTCGAGGAGCGCTGGCCTCCAGCCAACTGTTCGCAGTGGCCCGGTACATGGAGCAGAGGGGACAGCCGGCTAGAGCCATGCGACTCGCGACGCTAGCGATGAGGAACCTCCACTTACATTACAACCAGGTAACTATAGTTACGAAGCCTATAGACGCGTATGTCGGCGTTACGCCAGGGTTGTCACACATAAGGTCTTTTACAATAAAAAAACAATTCTATAAAACTTTAACGTTACTTGTTTATTACAAAAGGCCACATCTTAGTTCTTACACAATTACCCATTTTGTGATGGTTTTAACAACTACAATTTCTTAAAAAAAAAATGTAATTACTGCGAAACAATTCACAAAATATGGCAAAAATATGGTAGAATAAACTAAACTATATATTATTATAATATGTTAATTATTGCCAATAGTGGCGTTTGCGCCATTCTGTACAACGCAAATGCGGCCACCTACCTTGAGATACAAGTTCTAAGCTTTCAGTATAGTTACAACGGCTGCCCCACCCTTCAAACCGAAACGCATTCACGGCAGAAATAGAAAAGGGCGGTGGTACCTACCCGTGCGGACTCACAATAGGTCCTACCACCAGTAACGTTTTAAATTGTACCACTTCAAAGACCGTGAGCTCGCTTAAATGAGCGATAATTAGAGTTAAGGATCGACGTTACCCAAAGTCACCCAAAGTGACCGCATGCCCTCGCCACCAGGACAGCCACCCGGCCATAGCGGACATCCACTGGGCGGTGGCGCTGGCGCACTCGCTGGGTCGCGCCGAGCTGCAGGCCATGCTACCACTGCTGGTCAAGAACGTGCAGTGCGCGCCCGTGCTGGTGAGTCCAATACCAAACACATATACCATCAACCTTTGTTGTTAATTAATAATTGTTAATTAATAATGTTCATTAATTAAAAGAGTCCGCATCTGTTGCGTTGTGGTAAACGAACGTGGACTGTATTTATTACCTTTAAGATATTTATTAGTCTCTATGTGACAAATTAAAGACTAAATCTTTATAATAATACGTGAAGCCCTTGTACCCCTTGTACCTTGTACCCCTTTTTACGAAAATTGCGCGGACCGAGGAGTATGAATTTTCCCTTATAGAGAAGGAGTGCAGAATGTTAATTTTTTTTTATTATCTGCTAAAATTACATTAAATTAATCAATAAAAACTTGACACGCACTACTATGTATTTAACAAACACACACATATATACGTGTTTATTGTTAAACTTTTAGTCTGTTGTCAAATTGAGAATAGATTAATATTATTGAAGTTATACTTCTTTAGGCGCGTTATGAAAAATTTATGAGAATTTTACGATGCGCGCGCACCGTGACACAAAATTAACAGAATGAAGTTGCTCACTAAATCGTTCATTACAATACGACCGACGTAACTTGACGAGTCTGAATATAGCCGCAGGTGAACTTTCCGAACCGTACCGAGAATTACCGAATTTATACGATGTCAAGAAAAGGGATGTCCAATATGTGCGTGTTTGAGGATGTTCTTTAATCGATTTTTTTTTCAAATTGATTTAAAATTAAAAAAAGAAAGAAATAAATATAATAAAAATAAAGTATAACTTCTTACGCGCGTACATAATAAGTACACGCACCCTTTTTGTTTTTAATATTATTTATCTTTAGTTTAGTCTTGGCGAAATCTGTAATTATAAAAGTTTAATAATAGTCTTTGACAATAGAACCGTAATAATGTCCAAACTTATAATTTCAATTAATTATAGTCGAATTTCGACTACATTGAGTCCACTAGTATAACAGAAATATGAAATCGATGCGTCGCTCTTGGCGGCTGGTTTTGAAAGGGGTATAGTGGTCATAGCGGACGTCTATCGCTGACATATTGACGTTCCGAAATTGTACAACATCCACGTTGAAATGTTGCTATTTAACCGTAATTAGAAGGCGTCGTGGCCTAAAGGATAAGACGTCCGGTGCATTTGTGTTGAGCGATGCACCGGTGTTCGAATCCCGCAGGCGGGTACCAATTTTTCTAATGAAATACGTACTCGACAAACGTTCACGATTAACTTCCATAGTAAAGGAATAACATCACTACATAGTATAAAACAAAGTCGCTTTCTCTGTCCCTATATCTGTCTGTCCCTATGTATGCTTAAATCTTTAAAACTACGCAACGGATGCGGTTTTTTTAATAGATAGAGTGATTGAAGAGGAAGGTTTATATGTATAATAACATGCATTAAATAGTGGAGAAATCAATAATAAATTACAGTTTCCGAAGCGAAGCTAGGGTGGGTCGCTAGCCCTATAATAAAAATCAAATTAAAAAAAATTAAGATGTGAACTATAACCGTTGTGTGTGTGGCAGTCGGACGTGTTGCGGCGGTGTTGCGTGGCGGCGGCGGGCTGCTCGCGGTCCCGGCCTCCACCCCCGCGGCCCCCTACCCCGCTGCGGCCCCTGCTGGAGGCGGCGCTGCGGGCCTACGCGTCCACCACGCACGCGAGGCTCGCGCATATATCGCCCCGACACTACGCCGACTTTGTTGACTTCTTGGGTGTGTAGCAGTCTTTTTTTTTATTGCTTAGATGGGTGGACGAGCTCACAGCCCACCTGGTATTAAGTGGTTACCGGAGCCCATAGACATTTACAACGTAAATGCGCCATCCAACTTGAGCTATAAGTTCTAAGGTCTCAAGTATAGTTACAAACGCTGCCCCACCCTTCAAACCGAAACGCATTATTGCTTCACGGCAGCAATAGCAGCAATAAGCAGGGCGGTGGTACCTACCCGCGCGGACACACAAGAGGTCCTACCACCAGTAAATTTACACCAGCGGTCGGGGAACTTTTGTAATTATTACCCCAAAATATTTTTGTGTAAGTTGATATTACCCCATGGCGAAGAACAAAAAAAAAACGAAATCGCTTCTTTTTAGCATCTTTCATATTATACCCCCCTTGATAATTTTGAAAAAAATATTATTTTTTCGTTTCGTTTCATTTCGTTTCATCGAGTTTGAAATCACAACGATTCTAAAGAAGTTTCACTTCAACATATTATGCTTTTTACTCACAAAAGTTTCATTTTTAACCCCCAAAATTTCATTTTACCCAATTTGGGGTAATTTACCCCGGTTCCCCGACCGCTGGTCTACACGATAGTTCAGTGTGCTTGCGTGCGCGTTTTTTAACGTTCTCGATACCGTAAAAGTTAACTCAAATTTGTATGTAGTTGAAACGCCTAGCGCCCCTAGCGGCAAACGACCTCAGAACTCTTGTCTCAAGGATTCTTTAGAATTGAAGTGGCTTAATCCAAAATTCTTGTTTTTTTTTTTGGTGAACACCAAAAATATAATTGAAGAATTGTAATTTTTTTCAATATTGATTTTAATACTTTAAGCCTTAAAGCGCATAACTGAAAGCTTAAAATATGCGTTTGATTCAAAAAAGACGGAAAATGCACATCGAACTTTTCTAATTAAAATTAATTTATTAAATTTTTAATTAAAAAAAAAAAACAATTATTAGATAGAATACATGTTTGTAAGTCGTTCAAAGTATAAAACTTATTTTCTAAATTTTTTTTTTGTTAAATAACTTCAATTCTAAAGTTGCGATATACAGACGATAGTACTAATGACACATTTGATGATGGAGTTATTTAGACAAATGTTGTAAATAAGTATTTGTACGATTGCGCGAGTCTGCGCCGCGCCGTGCAGTGACTTCGTTGAACCGAGCATCAGCTGTTTTGGATTTTGTGTTTCATTGCTGGTTTTTTTTAGTATGTAAAGTAATGTATTTTTTATGAAGCTATCGTTTCATTTAGCTGTACTAACATGATGGAGCGTAAATATTGCAATATATATATATTTTTTAATCTGGTTCGATTTTTTTCCGTCCCATCATCAAAGGTGTCATTACGTCATTGTCAAACCATAATCTGCTATGTGCACTTTTGGAGATTTTTACTTTTTGACCTTTTCGTATAGTTCACAGCCCTATCTACCGTATAAAAAAAAAACTGTTATGTGTCTATAGCTTTAATATTTACCTATAGCTTTCATTTGATGTAGTTCTTAAAAATTTACCTTCCTATAAATTTTTATACAAAAATGTTTTTACTCGTTAATTCAGAATACCATTTTTGCACATAGCAGAGAAGAATTTTGGTTTGACAGCGACGAATTTAGTACTATCGTATGTCTTCGTTTTCGGAATTGGTCTCCTAACACCCAGTATATTCAAGTAAATAGTGTAGTGAAATTGATCGATAAATTATTTTTGTTCAGGCAAAGCCCGCGACACGTTTGCTTTGGCGCACGACGGACCACATCAGTTCGCCGCGCTGCTGCAAGAAATCAAACTTAAATACAAAGGGAAGAAGAAACTGATGTTCCTCGTCAAAGAGAGGTTCGGATGATGAGTAAACATAGTACTGAACCACAATTTTTTTTGGGTCGTTAAGATAATATGTGCAATCTAAACCCCGTTATTATTAATGAATCAATGGGAATAAATGAGGCCGTTAGCGCAAAAGTGGCCAAACCCACAATTTTTTATATTTAAGTATATTGGAATATGTAAACCGACCTTTCCATAGTTTCAGCCATAGATAACAGATGGCTTTGTAAACATTATTTTTGCGCGTATTCTTTTTTTGTCTACACAAATTATAAATTTCATGAAAACTTAAACCTCATTGCTCCATACTAACTATGGTAAGATTAGGCCACTTTTGCGCTGACGGCCTCAAATAATCAGTAGGAAATCTTGTAATTTGCGGCAAACAGATTTAATTTAAACACAAAAGACACTTAACTGTTATAAAGTTAACACAAAAATTTCGTTGGTCTTTGAGAGTTTTTTTTTGTTTTTTCTTAGTGAACTGTACAAATATGTTGTTCGTTTGATAATAATGATAAACAAACGATATGTAGTTTTTGTTATTGTTCTAATTCGGTTTTGTTTTATTTGCTGCTATTTTGCTCTGTTACATTCTTAGTCTAAAATCATGCACATACAGAACTGATTTGACATGCTGGAATTGAATACTGAATAGTAATCATGTCTTTGTTAAATACACTGTAACACAGAAAATTTCGATTTAATCCACTGACGTTGACAGCTCGAAATGTCACTGTCAAAAAATGTGAATAATGGAATTTTGTTGTCGTCAAGTGTCTACGGTATACCGCTTTAGTTGATCCTCTCATTAGAAAATATTTCGAAGTTAAACGAATAAATAAAAAAGCGAAAGTATTCCGTAACAAAGTGAACTTCGTTACGTCATTTCTATACTTGTAATTAATGTGTAATGATCTCAAGGATTCCATTGTGTATATAGATGATAAGCTGTAAATATAGTAAATAGTATTTATACATAAGTCGCCTTATAGTGTGTTTCCAAGACCGACTTCGGGCCGAACCGGACGTGTTTGCTTACAGAGTGACATTGCCAAACGTCATACGTCATTTTGTAAATAATAACGGCGGAGTTCTATGCCCGGATTAAGGTATTTCGGGAAAGTTCCATTCGTTTTTTTTTTGTGCTAACTCAAACGTTGGCACAGAAAATAATCTCGTTAAAATAGCGTCCAATAGCAGCGGAAGGAACGTTTAATAAACATAACACCAAAGAAAATATTTTATCTAAGTCCTACAGCGGGATAGCAACGCCATTCTTTTCAGTATTCATGAGTATAATGTAACTTAAATCTAATTATTTATATGCCTTTTTTTAATTGGTTATTGAGTTATCGGGCAATTGTTAAGCTCGTTTCGCTTGTATTTATATGGAAAAATGAAAGTGAACTGTAAATTGACGTTCCAAATAATTGTAATGGAAAAATTGCACTGCATACGAAAAGTAGGGATTGCGCGGCCCACACTAACCTACACCTATACCGATCCTCCTGAAATTTTCGATAAAATCTTTACAATCGTCAGATTTTAATTATGTATCAAAAACCTTCTTCCTTCCACTAATCGAACACTAGCTGTGAACTTCAAAATTTCCTTCCTTGCATCGCGTTCCTTGATGCTGAGGGTCGCGACCTTTAAAGTACTACTTTTACTCGCCTTATGTACTTTTTAAAAAAAATATTGTCTGATCACTCACCGGAACCGATGATATCATCGACTCACGCCGTATCGCTTAGGCTTTAGGGCGGGAATAGTGATAATGGAAAACTGTAGCGTACCGTAGCAAGACCGTCACACGTGAGGGTACCGTCCCGTTCGAGAAGATAGCAGTTCTCGATAGCGTAAAAAAAAGCTAGCTCATATTTGTATGGAATGGGATCGTTTACGTACGTTTGCCGCTAAGGGCGCTGTTCTAGCTGCATACAAAATGGGCTTAACTTTTACGCTATCGAGAACGTTAAGAAACTCGCACACAGAAGTGACAGATGTCAAGTCGCGAACGCCGTGTCAATTCGCAACCCGTCCCCACAGATTAGTTGCACTAAAGATTGAATTCGAACAACTTTCTTGACCACTTTTGTTCAGACTGTATAGGGCTATGAATATATAGGAATATAGGACTATATTCTTACTAGAATATATTCTTTCTGATTCTATATTCTTTCCTGAACTTCATCAAGAATGTCGAAATACACTTCAGATAATTAAAGGGCTCACACTAATTGCGATCAACCTTAAAATAACACCCTCTATAAAGCTTATACGATTAAAAACACAATGTACATACATATTTACAAGTGAAACGAACTAAACAATTTGTAAAAAAAACATATACAGTTTAATTTAAATAAAATAAAAAAGTGTATATCATCCTTAAATTATAGAATTAGATGTAATATAACATGAAGTGCATTTATAAATGATAGTTATTCAATACTTATTTGTATAAATAGTGGTCGAATTGACGGCACTAGAGTGCTACTAAAATTTTTTTTTGTAATTAGGGTTGTGCGAAACTTTCATCTATTACTGTATATTTCTTGCCAATCAGAGCCAGTACATGACAATGGGCTAGTTTTTTGTAATCACACACGATCACTGCTGCCCTTAAATTATGCCCATATTGAATTCAGTGTAAAGACACCGCTTGTCAGCGGTGTACATCAATAATCATTTTCTATGCGCGATGAAAAAAGTCGAGAATTAAATAATATATATTTCAAAAGTTCAGTGTAGATTTTTTGTTCGTCACAAAGTTTGTTCTTATATGACAATCCCAAAGTTCTTGATTGATACCCTTTTTGCTGAGCTAATAAGATTCGCACTTACCTAAAATAAAAATTAAAAGGATAAAAAAAAACTTTTGCCAACTCAAGAGAGGTAACAATAAAAATGCTAAGGACATCTCATATTATGTTTATATTAAAAATGTAAATAAAGTATAGATAAAAAATAATAATATTATTTCTAGTTGAAACGGTGAACGTTAAAATACTTCCAGTTTTTTCCTTGCCAGGGATTAAATATATATAAAATGTATGTTAGAAAATTTATTGAAATATGATGCTTTGAAATCACAACGTGATTGGTTAAAGTAGAAAAGAAACGGCTGAACGTATCGATGGGATGTTCTGAAGACGGAATCGGAGACCGGAATCCGGAATTCGTTATAAAAGACACTATTTTCATTGGTATTCCTGAGTCTCAGAAATAATTAAAGCTATTTTGGCGGTTTTTTTTACAGATTACCAAAAACACCAAACGCGAGCTTAAACTTTTTACTGGTGGTAGGACCTCTTGTGAGTCCGCGCGGGTAGGTACCACCACCCTGCTTATTTCTGCCGTGAAGCAGTAATGCGTTTCGGTTTGAAGGGTGGGGCAGCCGTTGTAACTATACTTGAGACCTTAGAACTTATATCTCAAGGTGGGTGGGTGGACTGGACTGTGAGCTCGTCCATCCATCTAAGCAATAAAAAAAATATTTTGGCGATTTTTTTATAGATTACAAAAACAACAAACGCGAGCTTAAACTATAAATAATCTAATTCTATTAAAACGAACATGAAATTAAAATTTTTTTTAAAGTATTCATTTTTCAAATTATGTATGTGGATAATCAGTAGTACTGTTTTATCTCAGTGGGTCGCGTTTCCGATCCGGTGGTAGATTCTGCGAAGCACTGCTCTTGCTAGGGTCAGTGTTAGCAACTCTCCGGTTTGAGCCCCGTGAGCTCACCTACAAACGTTAGGGTGAAGCTGAAATAGCCTGTTAAGGCTATCAGCATAGGTAGAAAAAAAGAAACTGTTTTATCGATGGTCAATTACTCGTATATTTAAAACAGTAAAGTATACTTAAAGTTATTGCGATTTTTAAACATATTTTTTTGTATCAAACTGCTGGAACTACGTTTCGATAGACCTTTAGTTAAAATTAAAAAATAAAAATTAAAAATTTCTTAAACACCAGTCATGGAATAAACGACTTTCCATAATATACGGGTAATACAAGATATATGTATAAAACGTAACCACAATTATATGTACATTTTTAAATAATAGTTTGTTAAATCATTCTTAATAGAAAGGGGTTGCCATGTTTAAATAAAATCGTTACTCTAGGTATTTATTGCCAGTAATTATTAATTGCAACATCCCATCGAAACAAAGCAAGAATTCGATTTTAACCAGTTATATTGTTTTGTAAAATTTACAAACATCACTTTGTGTTCGAAAACTGAAGCAATAATTTGTTTGCCTACGATCGGTCTGCCTTTCACAATTGAAATGTCACAATACCTTATTATATTTTATGTATATCAAAAGTGGTTAATAAAACTTCAATGTAATGCGAAGTTTCTTGAACGATTTCATTGCTGGTCATTGAAACGTTTTTGCTGTATATTAACGAACATTATAATCGTCTTTTAAATTTGACTTGCCAAAATAAGTAACAAGCAATTTATATTTGACCCTAAGTGCCTTGAGGTGAGTCGGAATTACTGCTGCGGTAGACCGATCGAACTCTTCGGAGTCGTGAAGAGCATCAGTATTTTCAATATATATATATATATATATATTGTCATTCGTTAACAAACAACAGAACTGGTGTTGTGAGGGGAGATTTCAACATAAATAATTGAAAAATTCGTTTTGTGTTTTCATTACCTACTCTAATCACCTCAATTTCCAGAGTGGATTCGTGTTTAATCCGATAATCCTGCAATCCGAAATGGCTGGGCCTGTTTTGATGAAATTCGTTTGAAATCATTAGATTGCTTAGCCGGTGTGTTTTTCGTTAATTTAGAGAGAGAGAGAGAGAGAGAATACACTTTATTGCACACCAACACAATTTACATTAAAAAAAAACAGTCAAAAAACAGATACATTTGTACAATAGGCAGTCTTATCGCTAAAAGCGCTATCTTCCAGAGAACCGTTTAATTTACAGAAATTCTGGAAAATATAAAAATATAGCAGGTATGTTGCGGTGTACCATAGACAATACATTATTATAGATAATATATACATACAATAAACAGTTATATACCGTTTACATATAATATATACCAATATAAATACTTACATACAATACATACTAATATACTTACACACACACATAATAAATCAACAGTATGGAAATGATAAATGATAATGATGCAAACAAACAGCACTAAGCAGATAAGTAGTGTTCCTTCACCATTCTTTTAAAACAGTTTAAAGTTGGAACACTTCCCACTGCATCCGGCATAGCATTCCACAATCGAACCGCCTGGACGGTGAATGAATTGTCAAAGAATGATGATGATGAATTAATTTAGCTGAAGATCAGATAAATCTATCGGATCTACACACACCATCACTTTTTATTATTATTCTCATTATCCTCTCGCAGGTCTGCTGGAAGAGATTTCTCAAAGAAATAAGCAGTGCCTTTGTACATAATTTTCCTATTACTCTGTACTATGTCTTGTTTTCTGTGTGTACATAAATAAATAAATAAATAAAATAAAAATAAATAAAAGTCAAATCCATAATTCAACTTTCAGTTCCGTTATGTTGGTACCTACATAGGTAATGTCACTGCACGACAAATGTCAGTAAGTTAACGAAGCATTAACAATGGTAATGTCAAGAAAGCAGGTTTGCCATTAGCAGATATTTTGACTGGCTCATCATTATCCAGCCCTTCTCCCAGTCACCTGGGGTCGGCGCAACATGTTTTCTCCTTCCATACTCCTCTATCATATACCATTTCGCTCACTACCCTCTTACCCATATCTTCTTTCACGCAATCCATCCATTTCTTCTTAGGTCTACCTCTTCCTCTGTATCCTTCCACATTCATAGTTAACATTCTCTTACCAACCTCACCTTCATTTCGTCTCATCACATGTCCATACCATCCCAAACGCGCACTTCTCAGCTTCTCTGTCACAGGTGCAACTTTCAGACTTCCTCTAACATATTTATTCACTTCGACTGGCTGTGTAAAGAAAAACATGAATTAAAAATCCGAACGTTTTTAAATATTTTATTATTCGCCTGCCACAGGATTATCTTCTTCGTTATTGTTCATCACAGGAATGTCAATTTTATCATTTGCCTCAATGTTTTTATTCCCTTCGTCTTTAGCGTCTTCCGTGTTTTCGTCGTATAACTCATCGTATCCTAAAACGAGGGGTGGCAGAACGACAAGACTAGCTGTCCTGTTTTTGCTGTTAATCTACAAAAAAAAACTAATGGATTATTTTCCCAAAACTAAGAAACTTAATTTCTTGGGTCGGATAAAAGCATGATCGTTTGTCTTAATTTTCAGGATTTTTTGTATTTTCACCATAGATCTGTTTATTTCTGCCAAATGAATGCATTCCGGAATTAATCTTATGAATCACCGTAAATTTTTCGCCTCTAGACATCAGTACAGTTGCCAGACGTCCTTGTCTTTATCTCAAAAGAAAAATCAGGTTTTGCAAACAAACATGTTTTTAAAGACCACTGTAAGCAATAGCAGTCCCAGAGATCAAGGACAACAATAAATTATTTGATTTATTGCGTATATCGGTGATCAACGGCCCACCTAGTGCCAAGTAATTTCCTACCTAACCTAAAGCTTTCTTTTCTTCCTACCTAAGCTGGTAGTCTTGAGAGGCTATACCAGCGTAACCAAGCTAGTAGGTGAGCTCACGGGGCTCTAACCTGGGAACGATGCTAACGCTAGCCCTAGCAAGAGCAGTGCTTCGCAGAATCTACCACCGGATCGGAAAGGTGACCCACTGAGAAGATCCAGCTAGAAACTCAGTGGGCTGTGTCTGTGGGTTAGAACAGTGACCGGTGCTTGCCTTAAAGCATCGTTAGTGGATCAGGAGGATCCGAAGTGATTAGTAAAGCCCGTAGTCAACACTAACTGAACGCCACTCCTTGATAACATGAGCTCGAAGTATCAATGAAAAATTTGGGCAACTATCTGGCATTATTGAAACTGGGACGAACCACTGTTTCGCAACATCAAAGTAATGTTCACGACAGAATACAAAACAAAGCATTCCGATAGAGGCACCCGTCACGTGCGGACGTGCTCATCGACCACTCGATCGCCCGGTCTTTGTTCGCCCGGCTTTTGTTAGCCCGGCCATTGTTCGCGCGGCCTGTGTTCGTGGTACATCTGCCGACTAAGTGCTCTTCCTGGAAGTTTTTATTTGTTTTGTTTCCTTTTGTTGTTTCTGTGTTCGTGGTACATNTGCTAATCTACCTACTCCCAGCAGCAGGACCAGCAGGGGTGGCTTAAATGAACAATGTAGTAATGATAAAATAACAAGGAGTGGACGAGTAGTTACGAAACCCACTAGATTTAAGGATTTTGTTGATATTGGCTAAATGTATTACATAATAGATAAAGGGGAGTTGTACTTTAAAAGGGGGGGATGTTTATAGGACTGGCAACACAGATCAAAATGTAACGTAAAAGATGGACGCTGAAGAAAATTAAAATGAGTGATTTAAGTATTCAATTATAGTTTTATTATAATCAAAACAATGACTGAAACATCCACAACAAACAATCTACCACCGGATCGGAAAGGCGACCCACTGAGTGGGCTGTGTGGGGTTAATTTACTCGCCGAACCCTTCGAGTAGTCGCAAGCGACGAGTTCGACGAGAACGGTGACTTGAGGTACCTAAAAGCATCGTTAGTGGATCAGGAGGATCCGAAGTGATTAGTAAAGCCCGTAGTTAACACTAACTGAACGCCACTCCTTGATAACATGAGCTCGAAGTATCAATGAAAAATTTGGGCAACTATCTGGCATTATTGAAACTGGGACGAACCACTGTTTCGCAACAGCAAAATAATGTTCACGACAGAATACAAAACAAAGCAAGGGATCTATTAAACAGTATACTCGTAATGTACAATAACAACAATTTGAATGGGTATTGAAATAAGAACCGACAAAAATAAATTACAACAGAGGAGATTTTTCTTTAATAAAACAAACAAAACTTACACTATAAACACAGAATGTTAAAACGAAAAAACCCAAATAAAACATTTCACAGAAATAACAAAATATTTTATGTTTTTCGATACTGTTACTGATAACGACGTCAATTACATTATTTTACATTATTCCAAGTACACAATATGAAATCGTTAAGCATAGAAATTGTAGACTTCCCAAAAATTAACTAGAGTCGAGACGAAACATTTCGGAGTTTTTCTAAACCTCATCAGGGCCCATATTGACGTCATCTGATGCGGGAGAGTTTGCAGACAGGGCTGAATCTGCATCTGGCAAGCTTGATGTTGACTCTGACAGCTGCGCCCCTGCATAGTGCAACGCTGCCAGGAGTGACGCCAGAGAACTTGACAACTGAAATTGTGAATTTCCCATTACGTGTAGTATTTTTAAAATTTCTTTTATCTTGTTGGCTTAAGCACTAATTATACAGATTGCTCTAAAATATGTTTAAATAAGGCCTTATAGCCGTCAATGGTTTCCTTGTGATCCTGGGTTGCCGTTATCAGCATTGAATTAACGGTAGACTTAAAAACACAAAAATTAACAGCCGCCAGATCCCTTGAAACCTTAGGTTAAGGAGATCGATCATTCGGAATGTCGCTCATATTTTTAACGAGATACGTATTTAAGACATGCTCACGAATAACTTTCACGATGAAGTAATAACATCGTATAATCAAAAATCAAACCCGCAAAAACATTAATTTGCGTAATTGCTTCAGTTAGACCGTCTTGTGAGGGTAGGTACCATCGCTTTGCCTATTTCTACCATATTACATTATGTACATTACAAGTGAGACTTCGACCAAATATCTCAAGGTAAGTAGCGACATCTGTGTAATTGGAACAGCGTCAAACGTAGGCAAACGTTCTAACTCCATATAAATTTGAGTTAACTTTTACGCTATCGAGAACGTTAAAAAACTCGCACTAAGCACACTGGTATATCCAAATTAACCTCTAACTGTTCCAGATGCGGTTTGAGCTCGTTCACGCATCTAGTGCAATAAAAAATGAGTCATCAAAACCACGTTACATAAAACGGATTCATACATGAGGGTCAGGCGTTTCATCTCCCCGCAGGAGTTCACCAACAATCTCTGCCTCTTCCAGAGCTTGAGACAGGCGTCCTGTTCTCGCATGTCTGCCGGCCATGTTCATCCGAATGAGAGGATCTTGAGGTGACAACCTTACCGCCCGGGCGTAAGCAGCATCCGATCTGCTGTCATCCAGTCGCTCGAGAGCAATAGCTATTAGCAGAACCTATATAAAAATACAGAGAGGCGTAATATATTCTAATATATTCTAAAGCCTTACAGGTTATAACAAGGTAACAATATTAATTAATATCATCAACACAATGCATAAATAACTAAAANCCAACAATCTCTGCCTCTTCCAGAGCTTGAGACAGGCGTCCTGTTCTCGCATGTCTGCCGGCCATGTTCATCCGAATGAGAGGATCTTGAGGTGACAACCTTACCGCCCGGGCGTAAGCAGCATCCGATCTGCTGTCATCCAGTCGCTCGAGAGCAATAGCTATTAGCAGAACCTATATAAAAATACAGAGAGGCGTAATATATTCTAATATATTCTAAAGCCTTACAGGTTATAACAAGGTAACAATATTAATTAATATCATCAACACAATGCATAAATAACTAAAATAATTTATTGTGGAATTTAAATGTAAATATTTTATAAATTAACTTCTTGTGGAACGTATGATAATATTCAGAATGTATCTAATCGACATTCACACATTTTGACATATTTGCTTTAATTCTTTCAGAAGGTACATCTGTAAGGATCTTGTTAGGTCATTTAGAAACTTAGTGTGTTGTATGTTATTATGCATATTTTATCAATAACATACGGTGTAAGGTTGAGATGGTTGTAGGGCAGCTGCCGCAGCCAATCTGCAAAATGCTGAGGTGGGTCTCTTACAAACCAACAAAGCTAGGCCCAAGTCATGAGCCGCGCGACCGTTTAATGGCGCGGCCCAAACCGCCCGCTGAAGACATGTCAATGCCTGGGAAAATAAAGAAAAATAATAAAAATAGTTCACTTTAGATAGATATGAACGATGTTGATACGATACTGAGTTAGATACGAACGATATTGAGTTAGATATAAACGAATTTTAATAAAACTCACGGCAACAAATTTCTTCTTCGCAATCAAAGCGAGTCCCAAGTTAGTATGTGCCGCCACGCATTCCGGGTGTGCTGTCAATGCAGTCTTTAACCTTGCTAAAGACGCATCAATGTCTTTGTGCTGCAGCATCATGGCGGCGAGGGCCAGTGCCGCGGCGTGGTGAGACGGTTGTTGAGCTAGAGCTGCCCCTAGTAGTTGGAACGCACGACGGGGATCACCTGCTCGAAGTCTCAGAGCCCCTGCTGCGGCCATAGTGTCCGCACCGCATGCGTGTGCGCTGAAAGAGGGGTAGCTATCTCGTAAGTAAAATATAAGTCTCATAACAGACAAAATACTAATCTAGGGAGTGGGGAGTGCTCTGAGGAATTGTTCGAGATGATACCATTATCTCGTTTTTACCATCACACCGCCCGCCACCGGAGTAGAGTTTATCCATACTACCTGGAGCCACTGCGGTCATCCACAGTGCGTTTCCAGAGGTCTTTTTTGCCACGTACCATCCGGCTATGGAATAAGCTCCTCTCAACGGTGTTACCCGAGCGCTATGACATGTCCTTCTTCAAACGAGGCTTGTGGAGAGTATTAAGCGGTAGGCAGCGGCTTGGCTCTGCCCCTGGCATTGCTGAAGTCTATGGGCGACGGTAACCACTCACCATCAGGTGAGCCGTGTGCTCGTCTGCCTACAACGGCAATTAAAAAAACTATAAAACAATTGCTACAAAAACTTTCTATTGATACTGTTGCGGGTTAACTGTAAATTTATTTTAAGGTTTATATTATTAAGTAATTAGTCACTCACAAAATGAAACAAAACAAAACCGTTAATTAACGTAAAGTTTTAATTTGATAATGTCATAATTAAATCGAACGACAGTAGTAACTTACGAAAGCGCTTCGTCATAAGCTGCTAAAGCTCCGTTCACGTTGTTAGTGGCGAGTAACATTTTCGCTAGCAAAGAGCTTGCCCGCTCGCCGCCTCCAGCTTGCACCGCGGATCGAGCCCACTCCACGCCGTGGTCCACATCACCCAAATTCCAGAGACATTCAGCTGAAAGTTATTGAACTTTTTTTTGCTTAGGTAGGTGGACAAGCTCATAGCCCACCTGGTGTTAAGTGGTTACTGGAGCCCATAGACATCTACAACGTAAATGCGCCACCCATCTTGAGATATAGTTATAGTTCTAAGGTCTCAGTATAGTTACAATGGCTACCCCACCCTTCAAACCGAAACGCATTACTCTTTCACGGCAGAAAAAGGCAGGGTGGTGGTACCCATCCGTGCGGACTCACAAGAGGTCCTACCACCAGTAATAATGTCATGTTCGACGTATCTTTCTAATAAGTACTATTAAATTTACAAATTTAAAATTGATTTCGTAATAAAAGTATAAGGAGTGATCACCTAAAGCACAATAGATATCGGCGTCGGGATGTTGGCTGAGTTTATCAGCTTCCAAATAAGCCTCGTATGAAAGCTGGTAACGGCCTTGTTTGTAACTGAAACGCAGCAATAGTTAAATTAATCTTAATTGCAATCCTGTTTATTTATTTTTTCTACCTATTCGCTGGTAGTCTATGAGACTATTCCAGCGCTACGCTCTGTCAGCTAGGTGAGTTCACGGGCTCGACCTGAGAGAATTTGTTAACACTAGCCCTAGCAAGAGCAGTGCTTCGCAGAATCTACCAGCGAATCGGAATCGCGACCCACTGAGAAGATCCGGCGAGAAACTCAGTGGGCTGTGTCTATGGGACCCTGTTTAGATGAAAAACGTTGGATACAGTAGTATCTTACAAAGAAATTGGCATTAAAACTACTTGTATTCGGGTTAAAATTTTGAGGTAGTATGAGGTACTTGAGCAAGTAAGTAGATATAGTGTGTGTTGTATTCTCGCTGCCCGGAATAGAGAAAGAGAAGAGAGGGAAGATAGAAAGAGAGAAGAGAAAAGAGAGAATCTAAGAAGAAAGCAGCTGTTGAGTATTCCTATAACTTGGAAGGTAGCATATTAGACAGGGTTCACAGTACTCGGGAGTTAGGCTTGATCGTAGATGATAAATTGGACTATCATCAGCACATCATTCGTACATGTAAGAGCGCCAATAAAGCCTCAGGACTTGTAACGCGCGCAGGTTCACAGTTTCAGAGTGTCACTGTCTCTATTGTCCTGTATTATGCCTTTGTACGTAGCAAGCTGGAATATAATTGCATTGTTTGGGATCTTCGGGAATCAAAATACAATATGCTCATAGAGAGAGTTCAGCATAAGTTTGCTCGGTACCTGTATAAGAGGTTATATGGTTATTATCCATACTACCTGGAGCCACTGCGGAGTCATGCACAGTGCGTTTCCAGAGGTCTTTTTTGCCACGTACCATCCGGCTATGGAATGAGCTCCCCTCCACGATGTTTCCCGAGCGCTATGACATGTCCTTCTTCAAACGAGGCTTGTGGAGAGAGTATTGAGCAGTAGGCAGCGGCTTGGCTCTACTCCTGGCATTGCTGAAGTCCATGGGCGACGGTAACCACTTACCATCAGGCGGGCCGTACGCTCGTCTGCCTACACAGGCAATAAAAATAAAACCGTTTTTGTTTCCGTCGCTTTTTGTGTCAGGTGTGGTTGGACTGGATACCCTAAACCATACTTATTGAGCAGAAGCAAACGATTGACAAACTCCGAAATTAAATACCTTCTATTGAAGTCTGTTAAATTTACAAATTCTTAATCATAGTTCAAACGACAAATCATGAAAAAAATATGTTTTTTTTGAGGACTAGCAATAAATACATTTATTGTTTTCTCGAAAAATCTTGTTCGGATTATTCATAGTAAGTATTTGTTTACTGACTAGGAAGCTTTAAATGTATATATCGACGCTTGAAAGGCAAACGTGACTAAGCGACAATGCGTGAACTTTACAGTAGACTAATTTAAAGTTGAAATACCTGAAAAAAAATCTATTTTAGCGAATCTAGCTGTAGGATTGAAATGATTTTAATAGACCTAGAAATATATATTTTTTGCGCATCGAATATGATTATTGCCTATCATTGTATCATATTATAAAGCAGTTATTGTCGCTTAGTCACGTTTGCCTTTCAAGCGTCGATATGAAGAATGGCTTACAGGCATTTAGCGACTTGTTTCAAGGGCTCTGGATCTCTGGGCTGCAGTCGTAGACAGCTGTGAAACTTTTCTAATGCTTCTTGTATCCGACCTGCGTCTGCTAGCACTGAACCCTGATCGGTACATTTCAAAAACGCCTTTATTAACTAGGCATTTACGTATGTTTTTGCATATCACTGAATCACTGGACATCATTACGTATGTTTTTGCATGTCACTGAATCATTGGATGTCATTTTCATTAACTTCAACAAGTGCGAGTGACTTAAAAATTTTCACACACTCCAAGGACCGATGACAGGACAATAGGACATACATAGTATAAAACAAAGTCGCTTTCTCTGTCCCTATATCTGTCTGTCGCTATGTATGCTTAAATCTTTAAAACTACGCAACGGATTTTGATGCGGGTTTTTTTAATAGATAGAGTGATTAAAGAGGAAGGTTTATATGCATAATAACATCCATTAAATACTGGAGAAATCAATAATAAATTACAGTTTCCGAAGCGAAGCAAGGGCGTGTCCCTAGTAATTTTATAAATTCGCTCTAATATCCTGATCAGTATCAACGGGATAAAAAAGGATGAAATTAAGTGTTAGTGTTAAAGTTTGCCATTTAAATAATACGACTACAATTTGTGACTTTGACCTCACGTTTTAAAGCTTGTCGTTCACGTTGTGTTATCCATAATCCGGTAACTGCTCCAGTAATTTCTGAAAAGGTCACGACTAAGATTTCTCATGAGCTCTTCTGCCCAATTGAAGCATTGTAAGAAGTTATTAAAAATTAACTATAATAGTATAACAATATTATTAGATGTGTGTAACACGTTTTTACTCTTCAGCTTTGTACGCTTTACATTGCGATTTGATGAAATTTCACAAAAAGGAATTCCAATAATAAGTATTTATGATCGGTTAAGCAATTAGCCGTTATGTTTTTTTTTAAATATTAACGATATAGAAATAAATACCTTTATGTAGAACGCATATATGTGTTTATTGTCGTTTTTTTTCTGCAAATCATCAGCCAGGTCAAGGCATTGAGCGTGCTCCCCTCTCACATATCGAGCATGTAGGAGCCAATCTTGAGAACCGTTGTCAAGCACTACAAGTTTAACTACTTTATGAAACAGAAAAATACTTTGTCAAAATAAAAATAAAAAGGTTTATTGTTTTTGTACCATTATCAGTTAATGCCTCAGTTAAAGACAATTTTTTCATTCTGAAACTCGACTGAATGTGTATTTGTTTAGAGCCGCCAATGCTATGGTAACAAGGAAATCAATTTCAATGATTTGCTCAATTTTTTAGGTTGACTTCAAATTATTTATTCTTGTGTATATTGTAACAAAAGTTGAAAAAGGCCGACAGATCGTAAGAAAATGTTGGTGTCATCCATTTTTATTTCGAATTTTTGAACTGAAATTTCAATTCAAGTTTTTCGAATTCATGAAATTCAAGATTGATTTCAAAACGTAAAATTAAAATTCCTGACGGCACATAAATCTGACAAGTGACAGCGATGAAATCGCAAAATTCAAAATTAAAGAAATAGAATTAACCATCTAAACATATTTTAAGCAATAATCAAATCTATAGAAATACTGTTAAATAATGGAGGACACAGTGCATTTAGCTTTAGTCGAGCAGAGTATTCGGAACACAGATAAATTCATTATAGCTCTCTACGAACTCTTGGAACGCATCACTCGTATTCTGGAGAATCCGCATGATTACGAATTGAGGAGTATTAAAAAAAATGTTTTCAAAGATTTATCGAAACTGGACTCTTTTAATGAATACATGAAGTATATCGGATTCAAATCGGTATGACTCGTGTAACAATNTTTAGTCGAGCAGAGTATTCGGAACACAGATAAATTCATTATAGCTCTCTACGAACTCTTGGAACGCATCACTCGTATTCTGGAGAATCCGCATGATTACGAATTGAGGAGTATTAAAAAAAATGTTTTCAAAGATTTATCGAAACTGGACTCTTTTAATGAATACATGAAGTATATCGGATTCAAATCGGTATGACTCGTGTAACAATTGTAACGATTTTAGCCGCTGTTGTTAAGTGCTCAGTTCGGATTTAGTTTCCTCATAAGTTGTCGCTGACTTCGGTTCATAATATCCAATTCCTGCAATTTTCAATTGATATATAGTAAACGCGCTGCTATTTCGCAAATTGATATTACATTTTGAGTAGTTCAGTAAAATTACCAAAATCCTTCATCTTCATGAGAATAAAGTAACACTAACGATAATTTTAGGTAGACAACGAATTTACATATCCAAAGGAGTTAAGTTTTAGCAAATTAAGGATGGCTCAAGTGGCCATCGAAAGGAAACTACATTTTTGCTGTGGATCCGTGCCTATTAGGCCGATCCCAGTAAATTCTACAGACGTTAGAGAACAACCTAAAGCATCCCCAGTTCATTCGTTGGTGGGTAAATATTGATAGTACTATAGATTAATGAGACTCATAATTTTCGACCAGAAGGTTTCTAGAGTGTCTTATTTGCAATCAAATGATCCAGTCAGAAAGGTTATATATTAAAGGCTGTTGTTATACAATACAATTTGACATTGACCTATTGTCTAAGAGTAATAATTACATTGCGTTTTGTAAAGGCTCTAATAACCACTTAACACCGAGTGGGCTGTAAGTTCAGACACCCATAAATTGAATTTAAAAAAACTTAGGACTACCTAGTTTTTTTCATTAACTTCATTCTCATTATTTAACAAGCTCATCCACATGTGTTAGCACTTTATCAACATTCTATTCAGCTACTTTTCTATTTCCATCAATTATTGATTGATAATCTATAAATCTGCTATCGTTTATTAGTTTTAGCAATTTTATTTTATACTACCCTCAAAACATCAATATGAATTATAATAAAATGCCTCTTAAACTGAGCCTTACTGAACATTAGCCTTAATATGGGTCATCGATAAAGTTTGAAGTGGTTAATAGTATTATATTATCCTTGAGACATGACTAATAATAATAAACACAGACAAGTTACAGATTGTCAGTTGACCCCAAACAAAGTTTAACTGTATTATAGGAACAAAAGATTGATATTTACTATGATAATATTTATTATATTTAAGCAAATACATATCAACGCTTGAAAGGCAAACGTGACTAAGCGATAATAACTGCTTTCTACATAAATGATAGGCAATAATCATATGCGAAAAAAATAATAATTTCTAGGTCTATTAAAATCATTTCAATCCTAAGGCTAAATTCGTTAGAATTTTTGTCAGGTATTTCTCAGGTATATTTTTAATTAATTTCAACTTTAAATTAGTCTACTGGAGAGTTCACGCATTGTCGCTTAGTCACGTTTGCCTTTCAAGCGTCGATATAGATATCAAACACTGAGACAAAGAGTAAATAAACCTGTTCATCATATTGAGGCCTGAAACTCATGCAGCAACATTTTTGCAACTTTGCAGTGGAGCCATTTAAAGTTTGAATTTGAAAAAAGAAAACATAACAAAAAACTTCTTGAGCTATTTCAATGGAGTCAACTCAATTGAAGTTCAATTAAATACATCGAACTGTTGATGTGATACCAAATTAAAGGAACTTTTAATTACAACGATTAATGTTGTGTATTAAACAAAATGTCGCTTACACCAAATACCCTGACACCCCTCGATAATAATGTTGACCGAAAACTTGAAGCAAATCCAAACTTATGTTATCGAATAATGAACGTCTAATATTTGTTCTGATTCATTAGTATATGAATATAATATATCATGTATAGTATTTGAATCATTAGTATTTTTGTTTAACAGCAAACTAAAAACAGATTCCTACTCAAAATTCAAGATCTATTCAATGGTATGCAAGTTTATGAGGATGAAGATTTATTAGCACATGCCCGAGACCAAATACCCTTAGTGACATTGCAGCTTATGGCTTTAGACCGAGTTAGGGAACAGCAGAAGAAAATTAAGATGGGTGAGTTTAAGTACCATTGGTTTTGGGAGAAATACAGTAAAGACTTTTGTTCTCAAAAAACAGAAAATTTATAACATAATAGGGTGCCAATGTTCATGCCTGCTTTAAAACAAGAAAACCATTAATACTCTGGCTTCGCTTGCATGATTATGGAAAAAACAAAAAGTAATAGAGCTAATAGAATTTTGGATGTCTGCAAATCGAAAATAAAATTCAAAGCACTTTTATTGTTTAACTTTGTTTATTATGTCTAATATTAAGTATATTTGAAAAGTTTTTATTGAAAATACATTTTAATTCTTATCTTACTGGTGGTAGGACCTCTTGTGAGTCCGCGCGGGTAGGTACCACCACCTCGCCTATTTCTGCCGTGAAGCAGTAATGCGTTTCGGTTTGAAGGCTGGGGCAGCCGTTGTAACTATGCTGAGACCTTAGAACTGATATCTCAAGGTGGGTGGCGCATTTACGTTGTAGATGTCTATGGGCTCCAGTAACCACTTAACACAAGGTGGGCTGTGAGCTCGTCCACCCATCTAAGCAATAAAAAATAAAAAAATAAAATAATTAGCACAGCATAAAAATTTTGAAGGGGCTACAAACCGTGACAACAAACCTAAAGCTGAAATGTTAATGATGGCAGAAACCGTAAAAATAGTTTTTATTATAGCTATAGTGAGTACCTAAATGTAGTAAAAAATTCTTAACTTTTTCAGGGGAAATAAAAGCAAACGATCTACCGTTTGATACAGCTTTGCTAATGGAGCTCCTGGACTGGTTCAAGCATGATTTCTTTAAATGGGTCGACAAGCCTGACTGTGATTTATGCGGAGAACGAACCGTCAATCATGAAAACGCTATCATGACGATAGAAGGTGAAACTTGTAGAGTTGAGGTTGGTTTATTTGATGCTTTACATGCTAGATCCAATCCATCACTATCGAGCCCGCCATGGAGATAACAGACATCTATGATTAGGTAAAAAAATGCTCAATAACTTTTTTTTTTGCTTACATGTGTGGACTAGCTCACAGCCCACCTGGTGTGAAGTGGTTACTGGAGCCCATAGACATCTACAACGTAAATGCGCCACACACCTTGAGATATAGTTTTAAGGTCTCAGTATAGTCACAACGGCTGCCCCACCCTTCAAACCGAAACGCATTACTGCTTCACGGCAGAAATAGGCGGGGCGGTGGTACCTACCCGTGCGGACTCACAAGAGGTCCTACCACCAGTAAAAACTCGTAAATAACTCTTCTACTATCAAAATCCCTTTCAAAATCTCCGTGGAATGTTTGTAAAAGTCTACTTTTTTTTTATTACTTAGACGGGTGAGCAAGCTCAACTACTTAGTGTCAAGTAGACATCGGGGCCCATCTACATCAACAATGTAAATTCCCTCATCCAGCTTGAGACATGAGTTATAAGTCTCAGGACTATATTTGTGGCAGTCCGCGCAAAAGTGACCTAACCCACAATTTTTCATAATCATGCTTATATGTATATTGCAATTTATTTCAAATACAATAAAATTTGGTGCAAAAACCGGCCCATCCATAGTTACACCCATAGATAACAGATGGCTTTGTAAACATTATTTTTGCGCGTATTGTTTTTTTGTCTATTCAAATTCAAATTCATGAAGACTTAAACCTTATTGCTCCATAATAATTATGGCTTAGCTTAGGCCACTTTTGCGCTGACGACCTCATTTATTTTGTAACGGGAAACGTTAAGTCTCTTCTTTTGATTTTGGAAAGTGCGTCAGTCTCAGCTCACAGCATGTTACATGTGTGCATGTTGAGCACTCTGGATCCAAACCAGCCCCTAGGTTAAGGTAGTTTTCATGTTAATTTTGAGTTTTTTGTTTTATTATTATTATTATTATTTGATTTTTTGTTTTTATTATTTTTATTATTATTGCTTTTGTTTTAGTCCGAGATTGTAGTTATTATTTTTATTTACTTCTAGTATAAATGAAATGTTAATGCAGTGTAATGAAGTGTAATATGGATGCAAAATCTGAAGTAAATGAAAAAAAAAATATATCATAATCCCTGGAGAACTAATTCGGCTCTTACGAATTGAAGCTAACCGTTGTTTAAGCTCTACCAGTGCACCGTATGTGAAGGAGGAACCGCGATGTTCCCGCGCTACAATAACCTGCGTACATTGCTGCGTACGAGGAGTGGTCGGTGCGGCGAATGGGCCAATTGCTTTACGCTGCTGTGCCGTGCTTTGGGCTACGACACCAGATACGTTTATGACGTCACCGATCACGTGTGGTGCGAGGTGAGCCGTGTAATCATGTCGCATATATGTACCTATATTCATTGCTTTACCATACGTAATGATTTTCCTAGTGGATCCTATTGCTTATCCTATTGTTCGAAAATAAATCGCTTGAGTCTTTTCTACATATTTGATTTAAAAAATATATTTACATTCGTCTTCTAACATAAAGCGCAATGTATCACATTTAAAAACCATCGTACATTGATCTTGAAAAGACGACGTACCTTCAGCTGCGTTTTCGTTACAATATCCGATTTTACGAATTTACTAAATTTATTTTATTTAATAGCTAATATAATTTAAAAAAAAAATTACAAATATTGAGTATGATACTATTATTATTATTATTATAAATATTATTTCGCCAGACTCGCGAAAAGAGTATCATAATAATAAAGTGCGTTTTAGAAGATTTATAGAGATATTCCTCCTTGGGTCCATAATCCTCAATGCTGAGGGTCGTTGCCTCATGAGGCTTTCTTGGGAAAATACACGGTGGGGACCCGCATCCTTCCACGGCAGTGCTTTTGGAAGAGATTTAGTTCTTTAAGGCCGCTGAAGCTTTATTTGGGTCCCGCCAACTAACCGCCGTCAGATATTCGGCTTTGATTGTTTTACGGTGGATAGGTCCAATTCCAACTTAACCTTCTTTTTTCATCCGGGCTTGGGGCCGGCATTGGCAGAGCTATATATAGATTTTTTTTGGTATTGGCAGAGTTATCTAGTTTTTTTTTAATGCTTAGGTGGGTGGACGAGTTCACATCCCACCTGGTGTTAAGTGGTTACTGGAGCCCATAGACATCTACAACGTAAATGCGCCACCCACCTTGAGATATAAGTTCTAAGGTCTCAGTATAGTTTCAACGGCTACCCCGCGGCAGAAATAGACAGGATCGTGGTACCTACCCGCGCGGACTCACAAGAGGTCCTATCACGAGTAATTCGGCAAATAAAATTTTGCTGGTTTGATTTTTTTTTAAATGCAATTGATTTGAGCCTAGGGAATAACAAATGCGATACATTGCTGTTCTGAAGATTTTCGTTTGGAGGCGATCGTGTATCGTGTGTGCCTTCAGGTGTTCGACTACGACTCGAACCAGTGGCTGCACGTGGACCCGTGCGAGGCGAAGCTGAACACGCCCCTCATGTACTCGCACGGCTGGGGCAAACGCCTCTCTTACGTCATCGCCTTCTCGAGGGACGACCTGCAGGACGTGACGTGGCGGTACACCACCAACCATAAAGAGGTTCGTCCTCAACTTTGACCTTAATTCGGGAGTCATTGCGGGTAGTTTTAAAAAAAAAGTTCTCTTTTCAAATTTCGAAAGATCGGTCTGTGCTCGGACGAGTGGACGGATGAGGTGAATTGCACCGCCGATTTTGAGGCATGTGGTCGAAGCCAAATTTTTTTTTTATTGCCCTTATAGGGCATATGGTCGTTACGATCATACGGTTCATCTGATGGTGAGTGGTTACCGTCGCCCATGGACTTCAGCAGTGCCACGGGCAGAGCCAAGCCGCTGCCTTACGTTTCGGATTTTGTAACAGTCGCCCTCGCCTTTAGAACTGGAACACACGACTCCTGCACGTCCAATTGAAACTTATGTTACTGCACTGAAATAGTTGTAAACGAATTGAAAATTTAAAATCATCTCTTTCATATGAGTTCTTATGAGCTTTTTCATACAACGATAGAAAAAGAGTTTTGTTTGTTTGTCTTCCTCGATTTTGCTCTTTGTCCATCCGATCTGTTAGACCCTTTGTGCAGCTGTTATAGTTGGCGGGAATCTGTAGTCGCTAATTTTGACTGACGGACGGCAAACATAAACAATTATGAGACGTATTGCTAATCATTTTGAGTAAAACGTTTAACAGATATATTGCTAATGAATTTGAGTGAAACATTCAACTTATGTATTGCTAATAATTTTGAGTAAACCATTTAAGAGTGTGTGCCCTTAGCGGCAAACGAAGAGAAGCTGTTCCGCCTCCATACAAATCTGAGTTAACTCTTACGCGATCGTGAAGTTAAGCACACTGACGTATTGCTAAATGTTATAGGTGTTGAAATATCGCTACCTGTGCACGGAAACAGAATTGATCTCCACGATAATGACGCTGCGGGAGCACAAACAGCGCGATGTAACGGAGGCCAGGCGACGCTATCTAGCCAAGCGCACTCTCGAGGAACTAGTGCAGATGATGGTGGAAAGGTATAGTTTTAATAATCCTATATTGCGGTGGCAGAATAGTAGGAATTATAATATACACGATAAAAAATATATAACTGTTTTTTTTGTACACGCAATGTATGTCGCACAAATAAAACAGTTGAAGCGTGAGGTCAGCGACCTCGCGTGACGCGGGAGAATGTCGCTTTAGATTGCGGTTTCACAAAAATTATTAAATTAACCCTTGCCAATATTATAGTTTTTAATTTTATGAAAAATGATAATATAGAGTGAAATGAAATGAAATTAAGATGATTAATTTGAGACAATAATCAACTGGGATGAAATTAAATGAAATGAGATGATATGGGATGAAATATAATCTCAGTAAAATGGTGGTCATTTACTGAGATTTTTTCAGTGGATTTTTTGGAGGAACTCGAGAAGTTACGTCCAGCAGCTTTGTTTAATTTTCCCACTTTTGTGCACTTAACACTAAACAAATCGAAATAAAACAAATCACACAACTTCACTTCTCGCGTTCCCGCCAAAAAGTATCTGTCGAATATCTTGTATTGTATGATAGCTACCTACCCGCCACACCTGTGATTAATAATTTTCAGAGATAATTTGTTAGTATTATGCGCTTTAATTTACACGTGTTTGCTGTTGCTTTTAATAAGGAAACCGAGCGACTACGAGTCCCACGGGCGTATATCCGGGTCGCGCAAGTGGCGGATGCAGCGCGGGGAGCTGGGCGGCGCGGCGGGCGGGGCGGTGGGGGGGCACACGTTCGTGCTGGGGCGCGCGGGCACGCACGTGATGCGCTACTACTGCGGCGCCGACCGGTGGAGGCGGGCGTGCGACGGCGCCGAGACCGCCCCCCTGCCCGGCTGGCACGCGGCCGCGCTGCACGCCGCCAACGTCTTCAGGAAGGTCGAGCCGGACTGGCTGCAGTCCTACATAGCTAGGGAAGGTGGGTATTTATTTATTTATTACACTTCATATAAAATTTACATTGGCGGACGGAATGCCTAAGGCATTCTCTACCAGTCAACCAAAGGTAGTGCAGAGTGAATAGTGGTAGGTGCAATTAAATTTATATGAAGTTACAAATACATGCGGTAGGCAGCGGCTTGGCTCTACCCCAGGCATTGCTGTAGTCCATGGGCGACGGTAACCACTCACCATCAGGTGGGCCGTATGCTCGTCGACCTGCAAGGGTAATAAAAAAAACATACACAAAAAAAATACATCTTACTGAACTGGTGGTAAGACTTCTTGTGAGTCCGCGCGCGTAGGTACCACCACCCCGCCTATTTCTGCCGTGAAGCAGTAATGCGTTTCGGTTGGCGCAGGCGTTGTAACTATACTGAAATCTTAGAACTTATATCTCAAGGTGGGTGGCGCATTTACGTTGTAGATGTCTATGGGCTCGAGTAACCACTTAACACCAGGTCGGCTGGGAGCTCGTTCATCCATCTAAGCAAAAAAAATAATATTTATTTATTACACTTCATGTGAAATTTACATTGGCGGACTTAATGCCTAAGGCAGGGGTCGGCAACGAGGCGCCCCCGATCGATTTTTAATGCGCCCTCGCCGGACTAATGTAAATGTATGACAGCCAGAGCGATTTACTTACTATTGTCAAACGGCGATATACAGCAAGTAGTTGAGTTTAGGATTGTGCTTAAATTAGCAGCTTGCTAACTTTGAGCGTATCTAATAACACGCACGTATTTTTTGTTAGTGTGTGATCGTATTTCGAATAGACCACGCGTAGACCGTGCATTTAAAAGTATCAAGTAATCCGAAATAATTATTTTCTTTCAATACCGAACAAAGCTTAATGACTCACATTTAGATAATTGTTTAAGGACCGGGAACTCTAAATATATTCCCAATTATAAGAAATTAGCTGATAATATGGACGCCCAAGTTTCACACTGAAGTATATGTATCATTATCTATGACACCAACAAAATAAAGTCATAAATTTTAATGTTTAATGCATATTTATACCTGTTGATTATCTGTAAAATATGCGTCCTCGGTGATTTTTAAATGTAGTATTGCGCCCTTAAGGACAAACAGGTTGCCGACCCCTGGCCTAAGGCATTCTCTACCAGTCAACCAAAGTTAGTGGAGAGTGAATAGTGGTAGGTGCAGTGAAATTTATATGAAGTTACAGATACATACACAAAAAAAGATATCTCACCGACCCCTCAACGCCATTCGGTCTAAGCGACATTCCGCTTAATGGAGGCCGTATACGCTAGGTTTTGCATGATGTTTTTAGCCGTGCACGCGTAACCGAAAGGCAAGCCCTAGCGTGTATGTGATCAAACAGTTATCGATGCATGCACAAGCAAAAACTTTGTACCCCTTTTTTACGAAAATTGCGCGTACCGAAAAGTATGAAATTTCTCACACTTATTGAGAATATAGAGAAAGAGTGCAGAATGTTAATAACTTAATTGCTTAAAAAATACATTTAATCAATACAAAAAAAACATTACACACACTACCATATATTTGACACACACATATACTGGTGGTAGCACCTCTTGTAAGTCCGCACGGGTACGTACCACCGCCCCGCCTATATCTGCCGTGAAGCAGTAATGCGTTTCGGTTTGAAGGGTGGGGCAGCCGTTGTAACTATATTTGAGACCTTAGAACTTATATCTCAAGGTGGGTGGCGTATTTACTTCGTAGATGTGTATGGGCTCCAGAAACCACTTAACACCAGGTGGGCTGTGAGTTCGTCCAACCATCTAATCAATAAATAAATAAAAAATATACATATTATATACTCTTTTTTTATTGTCAAACTTTTCTTATTGCTTATAATCAAATTGAGAATAGATTAAATATTATTTGTCTTTATTAATATTTGTCTATAGTGTAGTCTTAGCGACATCTGTGCTCATAGAAGTTTAATAGTCTTTGACAATAGAATCATAATAATGTACAAACTTATAATTTCACTTAATTATAGTCGTGTTTCGACTACCTATTGTACAAATGTATCTACTTTTTGACTGTTTTTTTTGAATGTAAATTGTGTTGGTGTGCAATAGAGTGTATTCTCTCTCTCACTAGTTATATAAATATTGTGATTGCAGAGGGCGAGGATTTCGGTTCGATCTCGTGGGCGTTCGCGGCTAGTGAGGAGCTGACGTGCGCCAGTTTATCGATAAAGGTCCGCACGGCGCTGTACGAGAGCGGCCGCATCGACTGGACGGTGAAGTTCGACGATGAAACCCCTACCACGGTTACGTTGAGCGGTTAGTACGATTCCTCAGTGGTAGGACCTCTAGGTTTGAAGGGTGGGGCAGCCGTTGTAACTATACTTGAGACTATAGAACTTATATCTCAAGGTGGGTGGCGCATTTACGTTGTAGATGTCTATGGGCTCCAGTAACTAATTAACACAAGGTGGGCTGTGAGCTCGTCCATCCGTCTAAGCAATAAAAACAAAAAACAAACAAAAACATACTCCTCCGTCCACACAATTTTCGTAAAAAGTAGGGTACCAAGTTTTTGCTTCACGTATTAATGTATAGATAAAATCAATTACAGATAAACCAACGAAGTTCGCACGAAAGTTTCGGAAGGTCATCATCAAAGCCGAGCTGTCTGGCGGCGACGGCCCCGTGCGCTGGCAACACGCCCAGCTGTTCCGGCAACACACGTACTCCAAGAGAAGCTCCTTTATCGTCACAATCGTGGTCCAGTAAATCTAATGTTAGCAGTAGAGATGAAACGGATATCCGGTATCCGGCCACGTTTTCACTATTCGGCCGGATACCGAACAGTAACACAGTATCCGGCCGGATTTCGGATAGTAAAATTTAAAAAAATATGGTTATACAAAAGGCAAATAATACCACAATAGGTTATGGAGAACTTTTATTTTTATGATCGCACGTCAAACACCCGAACGCGCACGTTTATGTCCGAAAGGGCCGGTATCCGGTATCCGGCCAAACCACCACTATCCGTTTCATCTCTAGTTGCCAGCCTCATAAAACAAGGTGTAAGAAAATCGATCTCATACTTTCATCTTACACAGAAAAATTCAAGCACAATCGAAGCTTGACCTTTGGGTCGAGTATTCGGTGGTACACATTGTCCATGTCCATAAGAAATAATTCACTGCCAGGCCGGTTGTATCACCTATAGAAATTAGAAGAAAAAAAAGACATTTCGTGACAACAAACTTCTTGATTATAAATTGTCTTTAGATAGAACCGGTTCTCTATACCCTGTAAGCAGTTTGGCACTACGCAATGTAAAGCGTTTTATTAATTTTATTTACTGATGGTAGGATTTATTTTAAGCCAGCGCGGGTAGTTACCACCGCCCTACCTATATCTGCCGCGAAGTAATATTATATCTCGGCTTCGAAGGGTGGGGCGGATCTTATATTATACAACTATTACTATATACTATACAACTGATGTCCACGTTACCACATAAATTAAATAAAAATGCTCACAAGTTTTTTTTGCTTCAAAAACGGTGCGCGTGCAACTTGATGCGTGTGAATGAAGTGAAACTTCTTTTCCGGTGCGCAGTATTGTGGTTTTCTTCATTTCTCATTCTTAAATCAGATTGCTCTTGTAATAGGGAATGCTGTGTATAAGAGACGCGACCTCTTCAACATTTATATCATATATATTTTAATTTATATATAGAAAAATAAATAAATATATATTTTTAAATACTTCATTAAAGTATTGGACGCTACTCGTTGTTAACGCTCGCGCTGGTCTGTAGCAGGTATACTACGCGCATGCGCTCGAGTGTCACGCATTCTCGCTCTGTCTCTTTCTATTCCATGGTAGCGTTAACCGTTTAACGCAACCTTGTTGGAAGTCGCATTAGAAGTTTCACTTCAAAAACACAACCATATCATGGTCAAAAACGTTTAAGAGTTTTATGATGTAGTACCCTCAGAAACGACTCCGGTCGCGATCCCTACCCCTATCTGGGAACGAGTCATCTCTCGCTTTGATCTCAGCTTAATTTGATATTGTGTAATGACCTGAAAGATGATAAAAGGATTAATATAAACGTGTTCGTAGTGAAAATATCACAGTACTTATTCGATTTTTTTTAAAGGGGTTTTATGACCTGGTAACTAAGACCTTTAAGTCATTTTTTATTTTAATTGCACTTATTCGAGACGCAGTTCCACGTACAGACTACACAATGTCACGGAATTTATTCACTACAATAAATGCAATAATGAATTTAGTGCGCCCAAAACTATGTGCATTGTTCTATCAACATCTGTTGTTAATACAGATGACAGACATACTGGTCGTCACGATACGACGGCCGGGAGTGAATTCATTGGGCGTGACGTCATTTGTGGGCTAAAATAAACGATAAGCTATCCACAAATGCTACATTAATTATGGAGGGTGGAAATAAGGAAGACCATTTCAGTGTCGCAAAAAGTTTTCGCTGAAAGGGAGAAAAATAAGATGGCGCCACTGTAGCAAGTGGAAGGATTTTAAAAACAGCACCATATACTATTTTACTGGTGGTAGGGCGTGACGTCATTTGTGGGCTAAAATAAACAATAAGCTATCCACAAACGCTACACTAATTATGGACGGTGGAAATAAGGAGAACCATCTCAGTGTTGTAAAAAGTGTTCGCTGGAAGGGAGCAAATTAAGATGGCGCCACTGTAGCAAAAGGAAGGATTTTAAAACAGCCCTATATACTATTAAAGTAGGATATTAAATTAAGGAGGAAAGAAATACTTCCTACGTAAATGATAATAAAAATGAACAGTTGAGTAAAAATATTATATTTTTAAATCCAGCATACTTCACTCTGCTTAAAGCTGGTATATTCATATATTTTCCATTTACTAAACTAGCGCTACTTCGGTGAGTCTTCCAATAATAACTTTATGTTTACAGGCAGACACTTTTACAACTTGTCCCCTATACAAGATTGTGCTCCTAACTTCTACCCTCTTTGTGGGCTAAAATAAACGATAAGCTATCCACAAATGCCACACTAATTATGGAGGGTGTAAATAAGGAGGACCATCTCAGTGTGTTAAAAAGTGTTCGCTGAAAGAGAGCAAATTAAGATGGCGCCACTGTAGCAAGAGGAAGGATTTTAAAAACAGCACCGTATACTATTTAAGTAGGATATTAAATTAAGGAGGAAAGAAATACTTCCTACGTAAATGGTAATAAAAATGAACAGTTGAGTAAAAATATTATATTTTTAAATCCAGCAGACTTCACTCTGCTCAAAGCTGGTATATTCATATATTTTCCATTTACTAAACTAGCGCTACTTCGGTGAGTCTTCCAATAATAACTTTATGTTTACAGGCAGACACTTTTACAACTTGTCCCCTATACAAGATTGTGCTCCTAACTTCTACCCTCTTTGTGGGCTAAAATAACCGATAAGCTATCCACAAATGCCACACTAATTATGGAGGGTGTAAATAAGGAGGACCATCTCAGTGTGTTAAAAAGTGTTCGCTGAAAGAGAGCAAATTAAGATGGCGCCACTGTAGCAAGAGGAAGGATTTTGAAAACAGCACCGTATACTATTTAAGTAGGATATTAAATTAAGAAGGAAAGAAATACTTCCTACGTAAATGGTAATAAAAATGAACAGTTGAGTAAAAATATTATATTTTTAAATCCAACAGACTTCACTCTGTTGTATTCATATATTTTCCATTTACTAAACTAGCGCTACTTCGGTGAGTCTTCCAATAATAACTTTATGTTTACAGACAGACACTTTTACAACTTGTCCCCTATACAAGATTGTGCTCCTTACTTTTGCCCTCCATAATTATAACATACAACTATTAGCTTCATGTGACATTTTAAAATGTATATTATTAATATTTCACAAAAACTTTGCTCTATGTTCGTTTGAATTCAAATTAAAATCGCTTAGGAGTACTTTTTAGATTTTTCATGAATGTTTACTAGTTTTCAATATCATATAATGTAATACTGTTTTCAATATAAAATGAATATACACATACATAACCATATAATACATATTATCAATACTATTAGCTATTCGCATTTTGTAACTAGTATATAAATAATCATTCCACTAATATTAAATACGTTTTTATTCCAATAAATATATAATATAAATGTGTTTTGTTATTCCTAACATTAGACTAAATAAAAAAATAAAAATAAATAAATAAAGGTTTATGTAAATTCATGTGTTTACGGCGTCGTTATTAGCAATGGTGAGTAAATTTATGGGCTCTGTGCTTAGTGCGAGTTTTTTAACGTTCTCGATAGCGTAAAAGTTAAATTTGTATGTAGGAACAGCGCCCCTAGCGACAATCGTAGGCAAACATGCTAACTCCATATAAATTTGAGTTAACTTTTACGCTTTCGAGAACGTTAAAAGACTCGCACGAAGCACACAGATGTAATCTGACTTCGTAACGCGTTCGACTGTGTCGGCACATTAAACAGCTTCTTATACCTTTGCAATAAAGGTATACTTTAGTAATGTTTACCGTAGTGAGGTCGAAATTTGCAAAAGCTTTGAGTTTTAAGTGTTATCCATCCAGTGATATGGCTTTTTTATTTTTATTGCTTAGATGGGTGGGCTGTGCCGCCTGGTGTGAAGTGGTTACTGGAGCCCATTGACGTTGAGTACGTATTTCATTAGAAAAATTGGTACCCGCCTGAGATTCGAACACCGGTGCATCGCTCAACACGAATGCACTGGACGTCTTATCCTTTAGGCCACGACACTCAATTGAAGTTCAATTAAAAAGCATCAAACTGTTGATGCTAATACCAAATAAAACGCACCTTTAATTACAATGATAAATGTCGCGTATTAAGCGCTTTTTTCCCCCTACCAAGCTGATGGTCTAGAGAGACGATATCAGCGTCACCGGGCTAGTAGGTGAGCTCACAAGGCTCAAACCTGTTGCTAACACGAACTCTAGCAAGAGCTGTGCTTCGCAGAATCTACCGCCGGATCGGAAACGACCCAGTGAGAAGATCCGGCGAGAAACTCAGTGGGCTGTGTCTAGATTAATTTATTCGCCGAGCCCTTCGTCACAGGCGACGGGTTTGACGAAAACGATGATCGGTGCTTGGGGCACCTAGAAGCACCGTTAATGGATCGGGAGGATCCGAAATGACGTGTTTTGGGCGACGTCGACTGTTTACCATTTTGTTCGCAGGATCGGCTATGTAGTTTCCGGCGGATAATATGAGAGAATTCTCATGTCGTGCCGCTTTATCGAAGTGGTCATTATTGCAAAAAAAAACTACCCAGCTCTAACATTAGGAATAGGCTTAGGGACTCCGGTACTTGTACTCGTCAAATAGTTCGACGTGCAACCTAACCCATACATCAGCCCGTTTTCTTTCCGCCGGAGTTCCTCAGCGAGTCGCGATTTCGATCCGGTAGTAGATGTATTCGCGAAGCCGCTGCTCTTGAGCTGTTATGCCTCCTTCGGAAGTGCTCGAGGGGCTGTTAGCAAAACCCACCCCTCCTGGCTGAGCTCGTGCTCGTCCACCTGTCCTGGTGAAACTGGAAAGGCCTCCGGGCCACCAGTAATCCTTCATTCACAAACAAAATACTATTTATATAAAATAATTATCATTACAATTGTGGAGAAATGTGTTTTTTTTTTCATTGCTAGGTGGGACCAGCCTAGCTTATTTCAAGTGAGAGCCCATAGACATCAATAACTTAAATGCCGCCACCCACTTTGATGTGTCAGTCTCAGTTTTACAGTAAAACCAGCTTCGGTAGGGCAAACGAAAGCGAAAATTTCAAACCAAAACGCATTACTACTTCGCAGCAGAAATAGACAGGGCGGTGGTACCTACCCGTGCGGGCTCACAAGACGTCACCAGTTCACATGCAAATAAAAAAAAATGGGGTTTGGATTTTTATTACACAATTTTTTGCTTCACCTTGGAAGTCATTAGTGACTTATTTCATTCGAAAATTTTTAACCCGCCTGCGCAATTCGAACACCGGCAGAGAAGCATCGCTCGATATGACTACATTGGGCGTCTCAACCATTAGGCCACGACAACTGCAGGTCGTATTATTGATAGCTATTTTAAATTACAAGAATGTGTAAAAGTGTTTTTTTTATTGCTTAGATGGGTGGACGAGCTCACAGCCCACCTGGTGTTAAGTGGTTACTGGAGCCCATAGACATCTACAACGTAAATGCGTCACCCACCTTGACATATAAGTTCTAAGATCTCAGTATAGTTACAACGGCTGCTCTACCCTTGAAACCGAAACGCATTACTGCTTCACAGCAGAAATAGGCAGGGCGGTGGTACCTACCCGCGCGGACTCACGAGAGGTCCTACCAACAGTAAAAAAAAATTGTTTTCGTAGTTTATAAATATTAATTTCTATAATATTAAGACATTAGTGTGAAGTGAATAAGTATGCATCTGCATGTTTATCATTAACAGTATTTACATTTAAATTGTATGTAAAAATCGGCAAGCTATAAAAGCATGT